TTGTTTTCCCATTCTTTTCATTGGTTGATAAAGTCAGACATTGATTTTGTCAGTTTTTATGGACTAAACCTTTTATAATTTACCTTGGAGTTCAGTATTTTTGTTGATACTTTTTTACTTAAATCATGGTTAGGTAATTCTACAAGAAGAACTAGCATTTGATACGTGTATTCTTTTGTTCATATTGCTCTTTACATAGTTACTAGTAGTTCTTATATATCCTTGACTTTCAAATATTTGATTTTGAGCGTTCCTGATGAAGCTTAATCCAGAAAAGAGCTTCGGACACATACAATTTATATACTGTTATTACTACTTTTTTTCTGGCATCATATATTTTCACCATTATTTTGAACAGTATCTTTGTTATTATGACGTTGCTTACATTAAAAGTAGCTATATTTTTAAATCTAACTCTAATGTTTATATTATATTGTGAGTCTAGTCCTAATATTAAAAAAACTAACTTTACAGTTGAAATTAATTAATGGCCCTAATTGAATAAATACAAAATATAACGATGGATTAGTTTCTTAATATTATATCATCTGTCACAAGTCTTTGGTATTACCACACATTTATCACTAGATATCAATCACGAGCAGCATAATGCACTGAGTCAGTATTATATCTGGAATTATAAAATCATTGGGTGCTCTATTGATCAGCGTTGATTAGACCTCCAAGATGAAACACATTGCTGAACAGAATATTACTTTAGATCTATCGTAGTATATGCAAAAACCTATTCTTTCTGCAAGCGTTTCATTCTTCGATTAAAATAACGGTTTATGTGTTAATGATTTGATATAAAATAATGAACTTTCCCGAGTTTCCTCGCACTTTTGTTAATCCGCAATTCCCCTTGCAACGCTTGAGATATAACCGACCAAACATGCATAAAATGTTTAAACCTCTTTTTTTCGATTTTGATCACATTAGTTTCGGGGTTTTCTTATATATCAAAATCGGGTTTGCTATGTTATTCGAAGATGTACACTTCTTTAATCCCCAACTCTTTCTGGATTTGCGTAGTGAATCAGACCAAATTTCCTTCCAAATTCCTGCAGGAAGTTAAAGTGTTTTAAGAACTTTCTGTTTTGATATTTGATCCCATTAATGTCTTAATGTTTCCCTTGTGTAATCAAGGTTTCACTGATAAAACTATCCAACCTTGTACACTCGTTTGCAGGAAATGAAGCTGTGTACTCAAATTACTTCACAAGACAAAAACATTGATATCAAAAGTGGTATTATTTCCAATTAGACGACTGTCCATCAAAGACCAAAAATGAACGAGGATGTAAACAATTGAAGATTAAAAAATGTAAAAAATCATTTGTTAAAAAGTCGAGTTGACCTTTAAACATAAGGAGGCTCCATAAATCTAGTTTAATCGAGTAAATTGAACGCAGTACCCTTTATAGGATAGGCATTCTATAATACCATTGTGTACGTATAACTTTCTGTTTTATCAGAAAAGAATTTAGTTTTTGCATACCAAAGCATGAACTTAAAACTATCATGGATAGGCGCATTAATGAAGACATTTACACACAGTGAGCTATTAGCTGTTGGATAGATATAGGGCACATCAAAGGAGTCAATCACATCACTTAACTATTACCTACTGGATAGATATAGGGCACATCAAAGGAGTCAATCGCAATCACTTAACTATTACCTACTGGATAGATATAGGGCACATCAAAGGAGTCAATTGCAATCACTTAACTATTACCTACTGGATAGATATAGGGCACATCAAAGGAGTCAATCGCAATCACTTAACTATTACCTGCTGGATAGATATAGGGCACATCAAAGGAGTCAATTGCAATCACTTAGCTATTACCTACTGGATAGATATAGGGCACATCAAAGGAGTCAATCGCAATCACTTAACTATTACTTGCTGGATAGATATATGGCACATCAAAGGAGTCAATCGCAATCACTTAACTATAAACTGCTAGGTGGGTATAAGGCACGTCAAAGAAGTCAATTGCGAACAGTGAACTATTGGCTACTGGGTGAGTCCAGGTCACGTGAAGGAAGTCACGTCAAGTTATATATTTTTTTCTTCTGTTTTTCGTATCTCAATTTTGCTACTTTCAAACAATTTTCAATAGTTGTGGTGCTTTAGTGTTTGAAGTTTTTGACTTGAATTATAGTTTTGTTCTATCGATTTTGTTTACATATGTTGTTGGTTATTAGTTCTGATTCCTACGTTGGAAACAGAAGTATTGACATAAATCAAAATCATCTGAAGAGTTAACTCGGGCATATAAAAAGGGTCAACCCTGGACCCCTCCCGTCCGTTAATAAAACATTTGTTCGAATGGGGCCTCGTTTGGGTGTGATGGATGTATAAATACGCAACCACGTCCGTTCGGAATGTAAATCCGATGCCTCGTATAGGTTGAATGTCATGCTCTCTGTATGTTCAAGAGCCACAGCAACAGCTCTCTGATTAGTCTTTTGCGGCCTGTTGCAAGGCAAAACGTTTAACCCTATCAAATGTGGTGATAATTACTGACTGCATTTAGTCACTAAGTCATCCTTATTAAGTCATTCTGGTTGTTGGAGAAACAACGAACATGCTTAAAGAAACAGGTCTCTTCATTTAGTATTACAGGTAGGCAGCATACACTACAGAATTTAATAATCATTTTTGAAGAAATTACCACAAACGTTTGTTGTACAGAGATTCATCCTATTGCATGTGAATATTTATTCCAACAATAGATAGAACTACTTCCGTATCAATATTATCGTTTGATATTAGAGTATGTTGACAATACAGAATGGCTGATCCATCAGTGTAATTGATTAATATCTCTGAGCCATTGTCATGCTGTTTATTGCAATCTTTTCTTTGATATGATTTGATATTGAAAACTAGGCAACCGGGGAAATTTTCGATATTTGATCTATGTAACTAAGGATAAGAGTATAGAATGGATTTCAAAGAATATTTAGTTATCTTTCACTAGTTGATGTTGGTTATTTGAATAAAAATTACTATGAAAAGAATTTAGTCTCCGATATAAGATTATGTTTTGTATATCATCTTAAAAATATTTAGTATGGTATTCAAAAAGGAAATGTTTCACAATTTTTTCAGTAGATATTTGGCCACAACAAAGTTCTTGAAAATATAAATAAAGCAAGGTGCATGTGTCAGTTTTTGAGAGACAAACATTTGAAAACTAGAATGATCGCCGGGAAAATAATACCTCCTGAATTTGTTAAACGATACACACCGAGATGAAAATTTAAATATTTATAAACTGTTTAAAATTTTATAGAAAAAAAAATGTTTTGTCAGAATTTAAAATAAGGCGTTTGTTATGAATACTAATAAATATTAAGATTTCTCGAAGAATTTTTTAATGTAGATGCATTTGAAAAAGCCAGAGTTGAGAATTTTAAACTGACCAAACGATCTGCTATGAAAACTTGTAGGGAAAACGTCAATCAAATAGAAATATAACAACAGAAAGAAATGAAAAAAAAACATATAGTTTGCCTAAGAATTAATACAGGGATTAAAACGGTAATGAAAAAAAAAACGTGATCCGATATTAAACTAGACCAGATATTTTGTACCCAGATGTCTTGATATCTATACTATTATCATACTCAGTTGAATGATGTAAAAAACGATAACATAGCATATATAAGTTATCTTAGTACGGTCGCCAAGGAAATGACTTTTTCCGGCGAAGTTTAAGAGACATCATGACAAGCAGTTTTCTCTCAAAAGTCTTCGGTTTCAGTGTTATTGTGATCAGGCAGCGGTAGAACCATAATGATTATACTGTTTTCTCTCAAAAGTCTTCGGTTTCAGTGTTATAGTGATCAGGCAGCTGTAGATTCATAATGATAATACTGTTTTCTCTCATAAGTCTTCGGTTTCAGTGTTATAGTGATCAGGCAGCTGTAGAAAGTGTTATAGTGATCAGGCAGCTGTAGAATCATAATGATAATACTGTTTTCTCTCAAAAGTCTTCGGTTTCAGTGTTATAGTGATCAGGCACCGGTAGAATCGTAATGATAATACTGTTTTCTCTCAAAAGTCTACGGTTTCAGTGTTATAGTGATCAGGCAGCTGTAAAATCATAATGATAATACTGTTTTCTCTCAAAAGTCTTCGGTTTCAGTGCTTTAGTGATCAGGCAGCGGTAGAATCATAATGATAATACTGTTTTCTCTCAAAAGTCTTCGGTTTCAGTGTTATAGTGATCAGGCAGGTGTAGAATCATAATGATAATACTGTTTTCTCTCAAAAGTCTTCCGTTTCAGTGCTATAGTGATCAGGCAGCGGTAGAATAATAATGATAATACTACCCCGACAATTTAATATATTAAATCAAATTCAAACTAACGTTCAACAGTAATTTCAGTGTGTCCCTTTTCTAAACCGAACATGTTAAATGTAAATAATGCATTCAAAGAAATACTTCTTGTGGAGAGTTGTCTCATTGGCAATCATACCACATCTTCTTTTTTATATTTTTAGTATATATATACTAACATTCTATTTAAATACATCTGATATCACCTAAACTGTAAACGTACTACTAAGGACCAATGCGAGATTAGAATAGCATGCTAAGGTTAGCCATTTCAGAATTTTAACATTAAATTACAATATAGTTTCCGAGTCATCCACAATCAATGAATACCTTGAAAATACCAGATTTAAATACATAACATCACTATTTGATAATATAATACAATTGTTATGATCTATCATATGAAAATAGGATCAGTATTCAGTTTTCTATGTTGTGTTTTTATACTGTTGTTTGTCTTTTCTTTTTTTTTACCATGGCATTGTCAGTTTATTTTCGACTTATGAGTTTGAATGTCCCTTTGGTATCTTTCGTCTATCTTTTGTCGCATTTGCATAAAACCTTCCAAAAAAATTATCCTGAGAAAATAAAAGAGGTATTGCTTCAAGAATTTATAATTCTATATTATAATTATTTCAGTTTGTAGCCCATCCAAACTGTCAACAGCTCTTGACATCTATTTGGTATGAAGGTTTGCCAGGATGGAGAAAGAGGAATGGTCCTACGAAATTTCTACTGTGTATTGGTTTGATATTAATAGTACCATTTACAGCCGTGTATTACCTGATATTTCCACGCAGCAAGATAGGACAGTTATTACGTAGTCCGTTCATGAAATTCCTGTACCATAGTGCATCGTTTGTTGTGTTTCTATTACTTTTAGTACTAGTGACCACTGATATAGGTAATACGCCCACTCGTGACCAACAACGTGGACCTCCTCCATCACAGTTGGAATGGTTGATTATTTTCTGGGTGACTGGTAAGATGATTTTATTGGATTCTCATCTACTAATTCTAAAGCACTTCCGGTATATAATGGTCAAGGTCATAAAAGTAAGAAAATGTTAAATTAAACATTTCTATGAACAAATTACAAAGCAACAAAAGCTGTTACAAAACCTTTTCTCCTAAGGGCATTTTCAAGTCAAAATCTATCAATCGAAATATTTGAAAATGGAAAGAATATCAAATTCTAAGTTTCGTGATTTAAACCACACAGAACTAATGCTGTTTCATCAAAGCCCTTAGGAAAACTAAATCAGTGAATATTTATCTGTGAAACGTTTTCATAGGAACAACTCAGCAACTTAGAATTAAAAAAGAAGAGTTTTTTTTTGAAGTATTAAAGCCCATACATATAGAAGAACAGTACAAACAATACAAGTACAAAATATCTAAATATAAAAGTTGAATGACCTTATTGTAAAATCGTGATCGTTAATTTTTTTTTCTAGAAATGAATTTGATATATTACGACTAAGAAGAATATAAAAAAAAGCTTAAAAATTTCAGAATTAATTATCTTGTTGTTTTCATCCGAAAGGTCATACAGAGGGTGGTTAGCCACACAGTATGTTGACACACCTTGCATGCGTCTTTATCTTCAAATGCATAGTCTATTGAATACAAATCGATATGCATGTAATAACGTCCGCTCAACTGTCGACTTCAATTTGTATTAGATACACCTTGAGGGCGTCAGTTCGAATGGGTGTATCTTATTTACACCAAGATGTTTTTGTCAATGCAGAATGATCGTTTTCGTTAATTTAGGAGGGGGGAGGGGTCTTTCAGCGATTTGATTAAATGTTTTTGAAAAGCATCATGAATCAATACAGGGTTCAATTTTGTTTAACGACATATTAGTGTAAATGCGTTTTAATTTGTTAATGAAACATATTTGCTGTCTGTACATTAGTCACTACATGGCTCTATTAATTTTTTTGTTTATATTTTTGGATTTGGATTTTTATTTGTTTGTTTTCGTTTTTGTTTTTTTTTTGTGATTAAAAAAAAATGAAACTCATATTCCTTCCCAGTTATAACATATCTCGACAAAAAACATTTTAATTTCTCCATTTTGTCCCAAAGCTTTGAAATGTCAAACAGTTGAAGGATAGAAATGGCTCCGGGATTAAATTTTAATTTGCAAAAAACAAATGTCAAAACTTTATCAAAATAATGTATCAAAATCTAATTAAAAGTTCATTTCCTTAGATTTGTAAATATCGTACCAGCCTTGATATTCATTACTGTTATGTTTACACGTCTAGCATTCAAAATAACAATGAAATATAACAAGATAAAATAGTCATCATATGGTTAAGTGGTTTGGGGATTGGTTAATTAGTACAAGGAGGTTATACGATACCTTCTCATATAACCTCCTTGGTTAGTGCGATAGAACAGGTTTGCCCCTCAAATCTTGCTTGCAACTCAGGGGTAGAGTCAAAGATATTCCTATTACATTTTTTTTTTCGCTAACCAAAATGCCCTCATCTAGACCTGTATTCGATCCTTTATTTCTTTTCTGTAGGTTTCGTTTGGGCGGAGTGTAAACAGTTATGGGAAGAAGGTTTGAAGGCTTATATAAGACAATGGTGGAATCTGATGGACTTTATCATGTTATCTTTATACCTAGCAACATTTTCACTTCGCTTCGTTGCTTACATGCAGATAGAATCTAACCAGTTTGGCCTACGGCAACTACCACGGAAAGATTGGCCGAAAATGGACCCGACATTAATCGCTGAAGGACTATTTGCTATTGCCAACGCATTCAGTTTTTCTCGTATTATCTATTTGTTCCAAGCAAATCAACATTTAGGACCATTACAGATCTCTCTCGGATGCATGCTTATTGACATTGTCAAGTTTTTGTTTATATTTTTTCTCGTGCTAACCTCCTTTGCATGTGGTTTAAACCAACTGTATTACTACTACAGCGGAAGTAGAACTCCTATGACAGCAGACTCATTTTACTCGTAAGTGTATCATGACGCTTGATGAAGCCCCTCGGTCACTATTTAATATGTGAACACTAAAAAAGGCATAAGAGCGGTCAACAAAATATAAAATGCACTTAGTTTTTTTGTATACATCTTTTAAAAGATGATTCTTTAATCTGCTTGATTCTAGAGTATATAAAAATACTGCGTGATATGATTTCCATGCGCACACCACGTGTTTCCGGAAAACCTTCATCAGATATGCTCTAGACTCGACGTTTGATAGCACAAAACGAGATCGACTTTGACCGAGGGCGTTGCAACCATAGTTTCAGATAAAGGAGATACAATGGATAAGCGTTAGTTCGTTAAAAAGGTACAACGCGAACGGAGGTATCCGTTAGCGAACAGCAAATCAGTTAATTAGCCAATTCAAACTTAATGAAATTAATGAAACAATTGGGTATAATTTGGTGAGTCTAAATCAGCGACAGATGTAGGAAGCGTTGATTATAGATAAAGAAACCATGGTAAATTATTAACCTGACGGCAATGGTTTGCAATAAATTACATACTTTTATGAACCTGAAATTAAAAGACAAAATTTTCATCTAAAGCATGCCGATAACTAGATACTGATAACTAGACTGATGGTGCATGTATGACTTATAGTTCACCAGCAGCAGTTCATCAATAATGCAAGGAAAAAAACAATGCAGTCCAATGCTCTTACGAACTGCAGCAAACAAATTCCAAAGATGAGATGCATTTGTATTGTAAAAATAACAAATAAATATTTATTATATAAAAAAAAAATATGACATGCAATGATGTAACAATACAAAAATAAGAAGATGTGGTATGATTGCCAATGCCTGAGACAACTCTACATGAGAGACCAAATGACGTAGAAGTCCATGATTTTTTATTGATAATTGACACAAAAGAAACACCAAAAACGTGTATTTATTATGTATTACCCTTTTGTCTTTACAGGTTGGGAGAGAGTTATGTAACATTGTATTGGTCGCTGTTTGGTCTGGTTACCCTGAAGGATATCAAAATACCAAATGGTCAGTCTTTCACGTCAATGATAGGCATGATACTATTCATGGCGTACCATTTTATGGCCATTATAATGCTAATCAATATGCTTATAGCCATGATGTCCAACTCGTACCAGAATATTGAGGTGAGAATGAAAACTATCTCATACCTTTAATTTGATTTTAAAAAAAACCAAGCACTACTAATTTTCAAATAAATTCCAATATCAACTTTACAGTTTTTTAGGGACATAGTTCAGACAACAATTATAGGATATGATTTAATGAATTAATAAAAGCAATTGTTATTATGAACCTGTAAAAGGGTAATAAAATACGGAAGTGTATTTATATTTAATGATTTATATAAACCCTCAGACTGGTTAGTAGATAACCTAGTGTCAGATTAACTTACACATCTGTACAAAGCCTAAAACAAACAAGACGTTTATTGGTACTCTCATTGTTTTAATACAAACAAAAATATAACTCATAAAGCATTTTATTACTCTAAATGGGATTACTATTACATGTAAATAAAAGGAAGCAATAACCATAATTATTTTCATTGTGTATTGATATTGTGAGGTAAAACATGGTTTTCTTTTCCGACCTTGTATTAAATCATCATGATTGTTTGCTGAACACTGAGAAAACAATGAAGTTTAAAACATAATATGGTGAAACAATAACTTATTATCCTTTAAAGTTTATTCAAAAATCGTTGCGTCCTTTAAAGTTACTTAATTAGAATCATTGAAATTACAGTTGACCTGCTTGAAGGCGTGCATTATAAAAGGAGATGTGAATATGCGTCATTGAAACAGCATCAAAACGATAAAAATAACCCACTGATATATATATTTATGAAACAATTAAGATAGATTTTTTTAAACATTAGGTACTTGTTTATTTTCAAAAGAATTCTGTTTGCAATTTCCTCAGTTGCCTAGGATGTAGACTAAGGATCCCCGTTTTACGTTTAATCCTACCAGCTCCGGAAGCAGCAGGCTAAAAAAAAGACCACTTTGTTCACTTGCAACGAAACAAATTCGTTTCAGTATTTTCTACATGAAAAATCAATATAATGATAGATAGACAGTTTACAGTTATGTAAATTATTTTTAGAATCATGCAGACATGGAGTGGAAATTTGCCAGGTCTAAATTATGGATGTCGTACTTCGATGAAGGTTCAACGCTACCGTCACCTTTTAATTTGATCATCAGTCCGAAATCCATATTCTACTTTTCAAGGCAAATTAAAAATATATTCAATTTCTGCTTCAAAAAGAAACAAGTGAATAAATCAAGAATGAACAGATCCTCGTCCGGAACTATAAAGGTAACAGAGAAGAATTATACTTAAATCTATGGGTTTTTGTTTTTGTTGTTGTAAAGGTTCGTCTAATGAACAACTTACTTCTCTTTGGTAACAAAGATGAATGATCTGGATCATTGGGTACAGAAGCGACCATACTACACATATTACAAGCAAACTCAATATTCCGATGTGAGGCATTTGACTGCTTTTGAAACTGTTTTAGCGCTGCAAACTCGTTCTCTATTTATTAATAACCTTTGGCATTTTTAACTTTTTTTATTCGAGCGTCACGGATGCGTCTTTTGTAGACGAAACGCGCGTCTGGCGTACAAAATTGTAATCCTTGTATCTATGATGAGTTTATTTCAATCTTTGAAGCATAAACTGAAATCACTTAACCTTATTATAGTAGGACCCATTTTTAATGTATTTGATTCATTCAATAGTCCAAAATCAGAACTTTAGTAAAATTTACTAGTATTTGAAAATTAAAGAGTCTATATAAGATACAAAAAAATATTTGTCAACAATTTCACATGTTTCCCAAAAATCAAAATGCTATTCAACGCCTCTTATATATAAAAAGCTGTGTAAGACAATTTGGGAAATTTACACGTATTTTTGTAAAATTAAGCACCGAGGACATCTTTCATCAAAATGAATTAGTTTGTACACGAAAGATAACGGATGATATATATGACTAAAGCTCTGACAGTATTTTGATTTTAGCTATAAATTTCCTTCTTATACACCTACTTTGATAAGTTCTCAAAGTACTAATATGAATCTGTGATACTGTGAATTTTAGTAAAGATTTAAAGACGTTTTGAAAATGGCACTCGTGTGAAATTAATTCAAGGGAAATTGATTTAAGATATCACTGAAAGATAAAAGGTCAAAGAAGGTACTATCAATATAGAAATCATGGCAAAATGCATAATAAGGCAAAATAGTCCTTCCCCCAAAAAAATATTTTCCATATTTCTACTGTAGGATTTTTACATGAAAAAGAACTTAATATCAATAGCATTATCACATAATTTTATTTTCTATCTATCAAATAGTCTGGAGAGAATGACAACGTAAGTGTTTTGTGCAATATCCTTATCATTAGCTATAAAATCTGCTTTATGCTGTCAAATTTTGCGTTTGCACTCTACCTTTTCATCATAACCGCTTGTTAAATTTTTCTTATCATTTTCCCCGCCTCGGTGGTTTTGTGGTAGCGTGTTCGTTTCGAGTGCGGGAGTTCGTGGGTTCAAACCCCGGCCGGGTCAAACCAAAGACTTCAATATTGGTATTTGCTGCTTCTCCGCTAAGCACTGTGCATTAAAGAGTAAGAACAAAGACTGTTCGTCTCGGAGTTGTTAAAATTCCGACTCCGCGTGTCGGTCTTGTACAAAGCAGGGTTAATATTCATATTTAATTAACATGTTCTCGTCCTGTATATGCCTTTAATTTGCCCTGGATGTTAAGTGGTCACCATCCATCCATTTTTCTTTTTCATTTTCGGGTTCGTCTAATCATCGATTTTATCTCTATACTATTTAATGCCTAGTATATGAAGTACGTATTTGTGAAAATTTCATATCCTAAACGGTCGTTTATATATAACTTACTTTATGCAATATGAAAGAATTACTTCGCAGGTTGATAAGTGTGACAAAATGTGAACGAAGAATTCTTTTTACTTATTAAAAACGAAGGACTCTTTTTACCTGTTAACCCCGAAGGACTCATTTTACTTATTAACCGATACTGATTTTTAAAATATATTTAGCAGCATTTCCACAAGTTTTTTTTTATCTCAGGCGTAAAAAATCGAATTAATATTCGTAACTACACCCTGAAAAAACTTTTATGGCTTTTCGGGATTCCCAAAACTGCAAACAAGGTAAACTTTTACCACCAGTAATCATACATTATACTGCTGCTATTTTTTCTGCAGATCGTTAAAAATATTATGAGCGTAGATTTAGAAAATGCCTTTGCGTAATGATATTGTTATGAATAAGATATTGTGTATTAGATGTCTTTAAATTAGAATTGTTTATAACTTTATAATTGATTCTTTTTCACCACTTTCCCATCGTGTCCTTCTTTTATTAATTAGACATAGTATGTTTTCTAGATCTATGCTAAAGAACAGTCAGTCGTTTTGTTCTTTTCCTTTAAAAGCAATTCATACCTTTGAAAAACCATCCCTCTATCATTTTAAGTTCGCTTTGCCAATCATTTCATATATAATTTTTTAACGCCGAAATGTTGCAGATCACCATTGATTTCCAGGTCTCCAATGATTTATTTGAATAAATTATTCTAAAACAATATCATATAGATTACAGAAGTGCAGAATCAATAGTTTAACCATTGGCCAAGGACTGAAAGGGCTCCGGAGTGTCTAAATTCGACAATATCGTAGAACTTAAGAAGTATGATTACAGAATATGATTACAGAAGAGCAGAATCAATAGTTTTACCATTGGCCAAGGGCTGAAAGGGCTCCGGAGTGTCTAAATTCGACAATATCGTAGAACTTAAGAAGTATGATTACAGAATATGATTACAGAAGAGCAGAATCAATAGTTTAACCATTGGCCAAGGGCTGAAAGGGCTCTGAAGTGTCTAAATACAACAATATCGTAGAACTTAAGAAGTATGATTACAGAATATGATTACAGAAGAGCAGAATCAATAGTTTAACCATTGGCCAAGGGCTGAAAAGGCTCCGGAGTGTCTAAATTCAACAATGTTGTAGAACTTAAGAAGTATGATTACAGAATATGATTACAGAAGAGCAGAATCAATAGTTTAACCATCGGCCAAGGGCTGAAAGGGAGTGTTTAAATTCGACAATATTGTGGTGCTTCAGAAATATGAATACTGAAACATGATTACAGAAACATGATTACAGAAATATGATTACTGATGAGCAGAATTAATTAATTAATTACATAGTTATCTTTCGCTGAACTTGTTATAGACTTCCAGTTTGACATGAAATAGACATTGAGGACCGTATGTTGACGTCTCCATGCCTTTTTGGTAGTTTTACCTAATTGTTTTAATGGATTGTTTCCCCATCACGTTCATGGAATGTATAAAGAACATAATGAATATGTTTTAATATAAAAAGACGAAGATGCGGTATGATTGCCAATCAGACAACAATCCACCGAAGACCATTTAAATGTGCATGTAAGCAACAATAGGCCACCGTACAGCCTTCAACAATGGACAAGCCCCAAACCGTATAGTAAACTATAATTTCAAAGAGAAAATATGATAAAACTATATTGAGACAGAAAACAACGACTATCACTTAACTACAGTTTTCTGGATTGATACGTGTATGCAAAGAATGCAGCGATGTAAAACATGTTTGTGAGCGCTCAACCCTCCCTTAATCTGGGACAGTGGTGTAACAGCACAACACAAGAACAATCTAAAAATCAGTTTTAAAGGACTTGACTAATCAGATCAGTACTAAGCATTAAAACAACCAACAAAATGACAAAACATACAAAGTACTGATCTCTCAGTTATTGAAAGCTAGATCAAAGCTTAATTTCATCTAATAAATAAACCACGTTTCTTAAGACAAAAATATTAATCAGTACAACGGGTTTTGTGTAAATATGTATGACATAAGATTTAAGGAAAACAAACATTTCAACAAAAGGAACACTAACAATAGGGAACGAAAATTCGTCTCTTTAGTCGTAAACTTTAGGAAAGAGTTCCCCATATGAAACTGAAGTAACAAAAACAAGAAAAAGACAACAATTGCTTCATAATATGTTTATTTGAAGTCAGTTACCTTGAAATAAATTTATTTTCGCAGAAAAATTTGCGAATTCTTAATTATTCAAAGCGAAAATTTCTTCATCAGAAACAGCTGCTTTATTATAAATCTAACTATATATACTGTTATTCGTGTCGGTTCTCCCTCCATCCTCTCATTCTGAAATCTAACGTACAGTTGTCCAAACTTTTATTGTTATGTCTGCAGATATCGATCTGATTGTGGTACATTGGTGTATGATAATGACTTATATTATCGAGTTGACGGACTTTTGATGGAAATTACGGCCCTTGGACTTTGTGCGATTCAATTTTAGGCAGATTTTGCAGGTCTAGTGCTGATTTTAGTACAAGTGGATATAATTATTGAATTTGCGTTTCGTTCTGATTGACCGACATTTTGCAGAATTTAGGTTTAAATATTATTTCTGGTGATTAACATTTTGTGTTCCATTTGGGCGACTTTTTCCCATCCAGCAAATTCATTACTCATTTCTTAGTTTCACCATATTAGACACATTATAAATCAATGAACACAGTTTTTCCAGTGTATAACTCTGAAGCACTCACTTTTTATAGAAATTCTCAGAAATGTACATTTCGGCAGGGAAATTGTTCCGAACCGACGAATCTAATTTTCAAAATAACACTTCAAACTATAACAAAAGTTACATATCTATATATAATTCAAACATTATTTCTGGACTATTATGCAGTTCTAGAGATAACCAAACAAACAGCAGTCCTCCTTTTATTAGAGTTATGTTCCTTATTATAGAAAAATCAATAAGTCATTTACCCTTTATGTAACTGATTTAAACTCTATGATAACACTTGACTGTTTTGTTTCAGCGCCCCACATTTAACGGAGATCCATATAAGATTCCACCATCCTATAATGAATTGCATTATCAAGTAAGTTAACAGATTTATCTCCCTTTAATTACTCTTCAGTTATGACCAGCTTAAATGATTTTTCATATAAATAAACCACATCTAAGGAAACCACATGAAAAAACGTTTACAGTTGTATCATTTAACATCCTTAAATCTTAAATGCAGATTGACAGGTGCCTTCGGTTCGTAAGTCCGCCTCTTTTAGATGTTGCAAGAGCTATCATGCACCTGAAACTGTTCAAGGAGACGTGGCATGACAACTATATCCACAAAAGATGAAAAGAAATTCGAATTCATAAGTAATCATTTTATATGCGCTTAATCGCTTAAAACAAGAAGTTAAAGAATTTTTATACCAAAATTGATAAGAAATTTAAAGGACGTACGTGTCAGTGAAGCTATTACTTAATTTACTTTAATACTAACTTACTTACTCACATACTTATACTCATACTTATTTATGTACTTGCTTATTTTTGCCTTTTTAGTGAAATGAAATTGAATATTTTTGATACTATCTATGGCTTAATGTTTAGGCAATCGCTAATAGGAGACACCAGATGTACGTTAATTTTGGTATCTGATGATTTACATGTATTAAACATATAGAAGTTTACGACAAGTGTAGCTGACGTATATTATTTTATTTATTTTGCAGCAGCGGAAATTAGCTTATTTTGAGGTACATTTTTGGTTGTTAATTTATATTTAAACACAAAAGCATGCTGGAATGACACTAAATATTTTGAAGGAAAAAAAACACAAAGTTGTTGATAATTTTGAATTTCACATAATTCGTAGTATCATAAAATTCCATTTATTGTTCATGATTACGATTCATTTGCAATGGAGTAACTATAATTGTATTTAAATATCAATTAGGAGGTTTGAGGTAAACCGTCAATAAGACAGCAAACCAACCACACAAATAACGTAAAGACATATACAGGCCAACATACAGTCTTCAACAGTAGACAATATTCTACATAAGTCTAAAAAAAAGTTCTGAATACATTGAACAGAAACTTTCAAAGATCTGTAACCAACACAAAATTCACCAAATACCATAAAACATATTACATAAAACAACCACCGACGAGATTCTTGATTTAGGACATGCGCATGAATATGTGGCTTGATGAAATTAGTATTTTGAGATCCCAGCCAGCTCTTTTGATCTCGATTTGTGGATTAAAGAATGTGACATAAAACAAATATAAATCATTACACGAATTAAACTTAACTCTAAAATAACAGTATTACAGGAAAAAATAGCCAAGGTACAAACAACAAAATGATAAATAGTATTATATTATAAAAAAAATGTTTGAAGCTACTTAAAGCAAAACTTGAAGTTGTTAACCTGCTTATATCAAACCATGCCGTTCTTCATTCTTAATTCGGTTTGCTGAGCTGAACTTCATAAAAGATTTTATACAGCATCGTCAAAGACAGTACATGATATCTTTTTCAATTCACAGAACAAACCGCACATAATTACAAAGTGGAAGAAAAAACATAAGAAATATTTAAGTATCGATTTAAGCTTTAAATTATCGAATTGATGTCAGTTTCTCAAAAATACTAGACGCAGTAATTGAAAAACAGTATAGTCATAACCTTCCTCAATAAGTCAATTAAACCAAACAGAAGAGTTTGAAAGACCAATTCCTTAACGTCTTAGCTTTATAAATAATATTACCGTGAACAAATCTGAATTTGAAATACCACTATTTATAAAAATTCTGCAAGTGGAATCCTACTTTCACAACAAATCTGTATCTTCGTCATAAAATTAAGTTGAAGTTTTGACCAATTTTTGATATCAATATCGGGATATGGATATCATAAATAACTATTGGTCAAAAGTATTGTTTCCTCATTCCTAATGATGGGGGTATACTGATTTACATCTATCCGTGCGTCAAAACATACGTACGTACAATCCATGAAATTGTCGTCGCATTTTCCTCAGGAACTACAAATCAGAGCTTCCTGAAATTTAGTATCTAACTTCATGTCACATCCATCGCTCATCCACTTCCTGTTAACTGAATACACATATACTAGTATATTCTAACATGTAGACAATGCCCATGTCTAAAATTAACGTCGCATTTTCCCCAGTAACTATTATTAGAGCTTTCTGAAACTTGGTAAAAAGAAAGAGAGCATGCATGCTATATAGTATGATACATTTTCGTAATCATCGTTCATCAAATTTCTGTTTACCGATACTTTTATCATTAGTGAGACATAGGTGACAGTACATCCTGCTAATCGGACCACTTGCGAAATATATATTCTTAAAGACGATGATTGATTGATTGTTGCTTGCTTCAAGTCCAGTGGCAAATATTTCATGCATGTTGAGGACGACAACAAATTAACAATAAATACACAATAGGTGGTCGCACGGGATGATGGGCTGGAAATTTGGAATGCCACTGGAAAATTAGGGTATATTAAATAGGGACAGAATTCAGCCTTGCAACAGAACACCTACGGACCTCTCAAAGAAGAGTTTTTGCAAGAGTCTCTCCACGCGAGGCATCGGATTTAACGTTCCCATCTTGACCGGATTTTACTGCGAATTTGTACAGCTCACTCAGACAAACGGACGTCCCATTTTGGCATGAATTTTCCTTCCGATCCAAAGAAGGTCAAGGGATGTCCATACTTTTATACCCCAGTCAACACTTGGGGAAAAATAAAAAAAGGCAAACAAAAAGCATCATCAATTTACAATACGAAAAAAATCATCCCGTTTATCATAAATTTTGGTATAAAGGATACCATGAGAAATTCTAAAATCAAAGTCTAAAAAGGATATCGATCACTTATGATGTTCGATTAAGTAAGAGTGAGTTGAGGTGAATAAATTTCATTTGATATTTAAAACAATCTGAATTTATTATTACTGTTATTGTCCTCGGGTATTGTTTAAATTCTTCAAGTAGTGTTTCGTTTGGTCTTTTCCCATAAACTGTTAATGCATGTTTATTTAAAAATAAAAGTATTTTTAAAACTTGTAACGAAACAAACTAAACTAAAAATGTCGGTTATAGTGATATTGGCAATGTGTGTAGTAAGAAACAACTTACCTTTATTCATTTTCTATCATACTTAATCTGCTTTGATGGTTTGTATTATAGAAAATCAATTTTATATATATGTATATATTCCATACACAATTAGTCAAGAAGTCACTATATAACCATTCATATTAATATCATTTAAGCCCTGATACAAGTAATCATTTGATGCTTTATCATGTCAAGTAGTTCAACGGTGCACCTTCACTAGGGTCAATATTATGCTTTGCATTACCATTCTTGGAGGAATATCCGTGAATTTCCAAAAGTTTAAAAAAATAAATTGCACCTTCCTTTGGGTCGATATTATGCTTACATCGCCATTCTTGTAAGAATATCTGTCAATTTCCCACAAATTCAAAAATATTTTACGGTGCACCTTCCCTTGAGTCGATATATGTTTGGCATTGCCATTCTTGCAAAAATATTAGTCTATTTGCCAAAGTTTAAAAAAAATAAAGTGCACCTTCCCTTTTGTCGGTATTATGCTTTACATCGCTATTCTTTGCAAGAATATGATAGTGATTTTTTAACAAATTCAAAACAAAAATAACGATGCACCATTACTTGTGTCGATATTATGCTTTGCATTGTCATTCTTGCAAGGATATAAGTAAATTTTTCCCCAATTCAAAAAAGAATACGGTGCGCCTTCCCTTGGGTCGACAATATGCTTTGCATTTTTCATTCTTGCAAGAATATTAGTGAATCCCCCCCCGCGCCCCCTCTAATTCAAAAAAAATATTACAGTGCACCTTCACTTGGGTCGATAATATGCTTTACATTGTCATTCTTGCAAGAATATTAGTAAATTTCCCTCCAATTCAAAAAAATATTACAGTGCACCTTCACTTGGGTCGATAATATGCTTTACATTGTCATTCTTGCAAGAATATTAGTAAATTTCCCTCCAATTCAAAAAAATGTTACGGTGCATTTTCACTTGGGTCGATAATATGCATTCCATTGCCATTCTTACAAGAATATCAGTGAATTTCCCGCCACAATTTCAATTTTTTTTACAGCTAAACTATTTGAGTTTGTACATAATGTGAACATAATGCATACAATTTAAGTAAGCTTTTTAAGTTAGTTGAACCATTACTTGTCTATTAGTTTTTGCAATGTAAAATCAAACTTTAGTCTTAAATACATGATTTTGTATTAGTTGTAATTGTCGTTGAACTAGCTTTCAGTAACTGTGAATACTCTCAGATCTGTACTTTTTGTTAGTTGTTTTTGTGCTTTGTATCAATCTGATGAGTTGAGCCCTTTTCAACTGATTTTTATAGTTTGCTCTTATGTTGTTCTGTTACACCACTGTCCCGGGTTAGGGTGGGGGCTCGCACACAACATGTTTAACCCGGCACATTCTGTATGTGTCTGTCCCAAGTCAGGAGCCTGTAATTCGGTGGTTGTCGATTGTGCTGTATATATTTGTTTTGTACATGAATCAAGCCATTAGCTTTTCGTTTGAATGGTTTTACATTGTCATTTTGGGCCTTTTTAAAACTTGCTATGCGATATGAGTTTCCCTCACTGTTGAAGGTCGTACGGTGACCTTTCGTGTAGTTTCCACATTCTATGTGATTTTTTCTCTGGTGGAGAGTTTTCTAATTGGCAATCATACCACATCTTCTGATTTTATAATGTCAGTCAGTTTTTAATCATTTTTTGTTACGTGATCCAAAATTTGATTTGCTAAACTAACTACATGTGTTACTCTTTCGATAGATAGTAAATGAAGATAATCTTGTATTAATTATATATTTTATCTTCAAGTTCTAAACACGCTAGCTTAATTTAATTGATCTAAGAATCCGGAATTTTGAGTAAATGTCTAAAATTTCGACCCCATTTATTTCTAAAAGTAGCACATGAGGGTACATTTTTTACTACAAATTTGAATTGCCCAGATGAAAAATAGCTTGTATGCTTGGGATCAAAACTATATCGTATGTCCTTCAATTCTGAAACGGCGAATTATATATGCTGTAAGGAATCATTTAGTTCAAAACCCAAACAGATGATCTGTAACATTACTTTTACATTATATTTGTAGGATGTAATGAGACGTCTGGTAAACAGATATATTCATCATACCAAGAAACAAAAACAAGAAGGAAGTGTTAATGAAGATGATCTCCTGGAAATTAAACAAGATATATCTAGTCTTAGGTAAATGTAAATTGTACATACAAGTTTAACAAAAAAAATAGTGCCACTGAGGACCTCAAGGCAATTTATAAACCGAGTGATCATCCTTAAGAAATATATGGACCAAGGCAAAGCTTTAAAAATTAATAGAGTGAAAAAGTTTAAGCAATAAGGCCCGAGAACACAGTTATTTCGTAGTGCATTTCTTTTAGACAATAAATTCAAATTAAAAAAATCGCACCTGCTCTATCTTAAAAAGATTTTTACAGTGTAGTGTACTACTATTGATACAAATAATATCAAAATTATAGAAACTTCTACCAGCTCTAACTCAAAATATTGACAATTCTGTGTTAAGGGGGGCTAAAATTCAGTTTGACAGCTTCAGACATTCTAATTTTTGACCTTTTTTAACTGGACCAAATCACTACTTAACATAAAGATTCAGCACCTAAATTTTTTTAACATGTAATTTCATCCCCTTACTTAATATTTCATGCATAAAATATCAAGAAATAAATTGGGAAAGTGTATAAAAAAAAATGTTAGTTATACACTGTTCACACTAGGGACTATATTTGTAGACAACGAAAACCAAAGGACGATAACTGTGTCCTTGGACCATAATTATCACTAAAATCATCCAAGTACCGCAACTCCGTCTAATGAAAACGAGCAGAGCGAACGGAAGACGACAACCGTAGGAAATTTATTGATGATCAGATGTGGTCAGAGTTATAATTTTAAAAGATAATAATTTGATATAGATTATTTGTGTTGGTTTTTTTCGGAAAAATATGTGTAGTAATATTCTCCAAAACAATTGGAATGAGGAAAGTAATGTCATATTTTCAAATGAGATTCCAAAAGAGGGGCGAAAGATACCAGAGGGACATTCAAAATCATAAATCCAAAATAAACTGACAACGCCATGGTTAAAAAAGAAAAAGACAAACAGACAAACAATAGTACACAAAACACAACATAGAAAACTAAAGACTAAGCAACACGAACCCCACCAAAAACTGGGGGTGATCTCAGGTGCTCCGGAAGGGTAGGCAGATCCTGCTCCACATGTGGCACCCGTCGTGTTGCTCATGTTAGTACAAACCCGGTAAATAGTCTAATTCGGTATTGTAGTTACGACATTAGGAACATATCCGCTATGATCTGTGAAACGGATATTCCATAACGGTCAACCAACTCGTGATGGCGTCCGTAAAATTTACGAAGGGATGATTTCAACTTCAACATTTGGAACTCTTGGTTTAATAGCTTCCTAGTGAGCAGCAACCCTCTATCAAGGAAATCATGATAGGAAATACAAGGCCGGGAATATCGTATCAATTGGAAGACATGTGCTCCGTATGCAGGCGCTGCGGGAATGTTGCTACATAGAAATGGAAAGTTCACAATTGGGAAGCTGAAATCATCTCTTTTGTCGTAAAGTTTTGTTTTCAACCGACCCTCATTGTCAATTTCTAGATGTAAGTCAAGATATGAGGCAAACTTAACTGTATCTGTTGTATCCTTTATCTCAAATGTTTTTTCGGCAGTATTTATTGTGACCACTTACCAAGGAAGCTATGTTACTGAGATCTCCTTCAATGTATTTTTTTTGTTTAGAGTGAGGTTTAAACAGAGTGTTAACCACATTTCGAAAATGCTGTAAATAAACCAAGAAATACGTGCGGTGTAAATCTCCGTTTTAAATGGAAAGGGTATTAAATCATTTAAATTAACATTTCAGATATGAACTGAGAGAAGACAAAATGAGAGACGGTGGAAAAACATCTAATTATCTTGATTGTCTTCGAGGTGATATTCGCAAAGAATTTCAGAAGATTTCGCCTATACCGCACCCTAAATTTGAGACGACGACGCAAACTAATTATCAGTGTTACAACGATAAAATCCCCAAAAATGGTGACTCGGCGAATCAATCAAGTTCAGGAAAATATGCCACGTTATCAAACAACTCAAAAACTAAATACCAACAATATAATGATCGAATACCAAGAATTCCTGAATGGGAAAGTCCGTGTAGTAGTAGTGAAAGACTTACAAGCGCTAGTGATCGGGACCAGCTTAAAATAGAAATGATATCATTACTCCGCGAGGTGTTACAGGAAATGCAGACGGACAAGGGAGTTAATTCACTTCCTGTAAATGGAACTGATCTTTACCAGACGCATTTGTACACTCAATTATGAAAAAAGTCATGAAAGATTAGATTTCTAAAGAGTTGATATAGTCTGGTCTACGGGTTATTGTGTTTACTTCATTGATTGCATTTTTAATTGAATGTTCTCGTCCAGAAGATATGCAATGCGGTTGATTTTTCCCTACTCAATACAAACATAGTAAACAAATCTGCAGTCCTGTAGTAATGTTTTGAACTTATTGTAATGGTATTTTTTTATTATAAGACTGTAATTTATATGCATGTTATAAACATCGATTCGTTTTTTATTTAAACATATCATACAATTTTTTTTTATAATGACAAAGATGTAAATCCTCTTTAAATTATTGTCATTTCTTATATTAAAGTGTATTAAACACAATGTATAATATAAATTAGTTGCATGTGTTGCCTTAAATATATATAATAAAACAGAGAAGAGACCGGAAAACACCAAAACTATTTTACACTTGGAAATATCAAAATATGGAGAAAAAAACACAAAAAAAAACAGCAACACAACTGACATAGCTCTCTTCCTGTTTTTTTTTTTCGGAACTGCTTCTTAGCGTTATTCTGATATTAAATAACAAAATGTGAAGGCTTTATGGATGAGGGATACTAAAGACATGCTGACCAAAGACAAAATGTTCGCTTTTCACTTTGAAGTTTATTTTGATAACAGTTACTATTAAAAGTTATTGATATGAGACAGTCACATGAAAAATATTGTAAAAACTACCGTTTTCTGACTAATGAACATGTTGATCTGTACTAGTCAGAGCTATAAAATAGAAAATCTTGTCTTCGTTTAAAACTACAAGTTTAACGATGCATTTGTGGTTTTTAAAATCTTTCTTCATGTTCTGTAATTAGATTGGTCTCCAACATTTTACTTCAGAATTTCATGTATTAGCTTTCCAGCACCTCAGAAGAGAAAATTGGTATTGCGTAAAATTGATACTAGTATTTTTGTGTTGGAAAATTTATTAACTGAGCAATCAATTTCGATTTTACTGTACAGTCAATTGGTTAAGAAACTGTACAATCGCTAGGCCCGAGTAAGTCAGTGGTTGTTGTTTGTTTGCTGTATATCATATTTGCTTTTCGTTTACTGTTTTCTACATAAATCTGGCCGTTAGTTTTCTCGTTTGAATTGTTTTGTATTTGTCATTTCGGGGTCTTTTACAGCTTGCTGTGCGGTATGAGTTTTGCTCATTGTTGAAGTCCGTATGGTGACCTATAGAAGTAAACTTCTAATTCATTTGGTGGAGAGTTGTCTCATTATCAATCAAACTACATCTTCTTATTTTCATATAAACAAGGAACTGATATTTTCAACAGTTTTTATGAATTCCTTATGCTCAGAATAATGGAGTACTTGTTGCTGCTTGTACACCTATATTCATGTCAATATCATACATTTGTGTCCGTCTTCCATCAAGTTGAGTCTCCGAACGGCATTCTTTCTCTGTGCAAATATAAATATTTTCCCTTTATAACTAGACTGCTTCTGCGATGTATTGTTACTGTTCACAATTCTTATACAGCAGGAAACATAAAAAGATATGCTATGCGCCTAGCTGCATAAAAAACCTGGTATTCATGAATAGTAACTACTTATTTTGAGTGCCATTCATGGGAAGTAGATACTCTTGGTAGAGGGCTGTATCTTAAGATATAATTTTGGAACTAGATTAGGGTTTTGATGATAGTCGGATTTTAGTAAGTTGACCTAGTGGTTTTACCTCCCAATGTTTGATCGTCATAAGCTGTATAACTGCTGATAAACATCATAGAAAGAGTTATTTACCCTTGTGTTCTCTGGAGAAGAAAAAAACGGACCCATAGTTGGTTTTATGGTGCCATATTAACCCATATTATTTTTCAGTAAAAATCATCATAATTCAGGCGTTATGTTGTTTAGAATAACTTATTCATTTGATGAGAAGTTTTTTTTCATTACCAAATGAGGTCATACAATATAATTTAGGTTTTCGTCCTATGTGCTTATGCTAAATACCTGGTTGGGACATCGGATTTAAATATGCAAGTTATAATACAATTTTTCCTGTTTGCGCTTAATTTAATAGGCCAAACCAATTAATTTTGGAAATGTTTCTATTTCATTAATGGCGACCATACAATTTTAGATAAGAGAGTTCTTTACGGACTAATTTGCTACATTTCGTCTAAAATTGGTGGCATTAATTACTGCTAAAATAAAACGATGAAATTGATGGTTTATTTTTCAATCCATAGTTCATTGTTTAATGCATCCTCTGGACACTCTACGTATCACATACGCAAAATTAAATTCCATTTTCTTGAGCTATTCAGAGATCTTTGAGAAAAGCCTGCTAAATTGGGACAACAAACGACAAAGTCCAAGTCCTAATAAATAGCTAATACTACCAAGATCGTGTTGGCTTTTATCCATTTAAAAGACTGACTGTGAAATTTAATTATCAATTACAAATCTTAAGGATATTCGAATCTATATCATTTCTAAGTTAGTAAAAGTCATATTAAAGGATAATTTCAGTAACATTCTGTTGTTTTATACCAATTTCCACGGACGGAAGATATTTTCCGCTTATTGATACATTTTTTTTAAAGTACGAGATTTGCAAGAGATACGTATACTTAGTTATTAATGTCAAACAGCTATTATGACATTAAAAAGGCAGTCAAACAAAATACATACCTTATATATAGTATTATGAAGACATGTTTTGATTATACTTATTACCTGGTGCATAAATACAATAATAATGAACATGTTCAGAGTGCAAATATGAATTTAATTATCGTTTGTGACATTCTTTTCTGAAGGAAAATACTATGTCTTGTTTATAAAGCGTGGGATTTACCTTGAAAAGTACAAAGGCTTTTCCATCAAGGTCAAATGAATTCCAAAATTAGATTGCAAAGTAAATACTAGCCTTTCATTGGAAGGGCATGACAGTGTAAAGAGTACTGTTAGCTTTATATTTTCTTTTTCTCGATTTACCACGTTGTTTAATTCCCATTAGAACGTTTCATGATCTTTCATAACACATGGCAGCAAATTCTAAAATGAACTACGTTGGTAGAACGCATCTGTTCTCTTCACATACCGACAAAATAAGACTTAAAACAAAATCAGCATTACTTTATTCGTTATTCATTAAAATATTTTGAAATACTAGTTATGAATGCATAAACTCATTTCAATACAATTTCCCTCTTACACAAGCTTTTGAAATTTGACTCTCTTTCTGTGTGAAAGTCGTGATAATATTTATTATTCTTACTTTCCGTGCAACATAAACATACAAAAACAACAGAAACAAACAAAAGAAACCAACCAAACACTCAAAATTAATACAATTTGAAACTAAAGTAAGCATTTCGTAGAAAAAATTACATTTATTTAAATACGTTACGTAAAGCAAAAAACAGCTGCGCGAATCCCGATTTTTTTCAGATTTTAAAACTTGTTCAAATATTTTTTTTTTGTTTTAAAAAAAATGTTGACATGTCAGTATATGTGTCATATCTAATGTAGAAATGTAACAAGCAAGGTGAACAAGGACAACCTTGTCGTATACAATGTACCGATAATAAATTTCATTTTAAGTGTTCATTTAACATAATACGAAAAGTCTATCTTCTTGTTTAAAACACGCAATACATAAAATTCAAAGAACAAAATCTGAATTAAAGGTAACTGAAATCGAAAAGATGAAATCCTATTTTTTTTTTTTTTTTTTTTTTTTTATTAAACTCTAACGTTTTTAACCATGAACATTTATAAGAAGTAAAAGTCTGACATGCATGAATATCGTACAAGTTAAAAGTGAACAATTAAAAAAGGTCCATTTGGTCAGTACTAATGTGGATGCAATTTTTGCAATTATTAATTTAGATGAACTAACTTGATAAAATAAATATTGAAATTACCATCTTCTCGAAAATTGATATTGACTTCGTAAATATGTTTTCAACAAATAGAATTATTTTAAAGCAAAGAGGAAATAACTAATTCGCTCAAGCTACCAAGAAATTTCATTATAAATATAAAAATAAGGAGATGTGGTATGATTGCCAATGACACAACTATCCACCAAAGTTAAAATGAAGTGAATGTAAGCAATTATAGGCAACCGTACGGCCTTCAACAATGAGGGGAAGTCCATACCGTATAGTCGGCTATAAAAGGCTCCGACATGAAAAATATGAAACAATTCAATTCAGAAAACTTACGGCCTAATTCTTTTTACATGAAATATAAAACTAAGGGTATTTGAAAACGAAAAGAAAAATCGTTTTTTTTTTCAAACTATAAAGTCTTTAACAATGAACGTTATAAGAAGTCAAAGTCTGACATGCATATCATACAAGTTTAAAGTTAATATATGAAAAGAGGTCCATTTAGTAAGCATTAAGGTGGATGAAGTTTTTGTATTTAATCATTTAAATTAAATCACTTGAGCAATTAAATATTATAATAAGCGTCCTCTCAAAATAAAATATTGACTTTGTAAATATTTCCAACATAAAAACTATTTTTAACAAAAAAGAAATAAGTTGTTCCCTTAAGGTACAAAGAAATTTCATACCATCATACATCAAAAGTAACATTAAAATGACAGCAAAATGACAATTATATGACTCAAGTTAAATCTTTCAATAGATAGAAATCTTCACTTGTAAATAAACTTTGACCATGAATCAAGTAAGAGTTTACAGATTTGAATTATTTATATTCATATTTATATCAACTCTGTGGAACGTGTTTGAAGGTTTTCCTGGTTTACAAAGCCGCCTTCCAAATGGGGATAAAATACCTCATCCATGTATTCCAGGCCAATACTGGCATGCAGTAGGACACTGGCATCCAAGTCGAGGAGTCGAAAATAACCAATTTGGATTAGTGAGTAGATAATACTTTCATGAATACAAACCATTAAAAACGATGAGACATAGACTAGCTCTCTTCATTGACACTATACAAGTTTATATTGATATTTTACATCAAGATGACCTTGTTGGTGGCTGTCTGCTGTCGTTCATTTTCTTTGACTGTTCTTGACTTTTTGTTTTTTGTTTTTTTCAAAATTACTCCCATAATGGGTTCAAAATTTAAGAGTCACGATAAAACGCGCGAGTTTGAGATCAGAATCTTAACTGTTATTGCACATTCAGAACATCTGGTCTCGTTTGTGAGTATGAGACTGTCAATGAATTGTTTCTACCTTTTAGATAATCTCTTTCTTGTGTGTTTTCTTCATTGTGCCCGCAACCGCCGCATAAGACTTATTTCAGAATTATCAGTCATACGATTTTTTTGTAATCTGCTGTTGAACTATATGCAACCGTGCAAGCAGTTTACGCCAATATATGAAATTTAAAAGAAACTATATCAAATGGATTTCATGAATTAACTCATTTATCAAATTCATCTTAAAAAATGCTTTATTTTGCAATTGAAAACAGAAATGATGCAATGTTGTAATGACTTTTCTAGATTTCTAAGATTTGATCGCTGTATGGCATATTGTATTCCATCAAGTTCTGTTATCACAAGTATATAACCTTTTCAAAGAACAGTTTGCGATATGGGTGTTTTTCGGACCATTATCATGACTAATATTCCTATATGCAACAACATTCAGTACTGCTATTTGTGAAATTTCAAATTTCTTGAAAAAATCATTTTAAATGCGCATGCCCACCAGGATAAGTGATCATGTGAATTTGTTAGGATGCTTGTACTTGGTTGGCCATATGTCATTTGAAATATTTGGCATATCCAAGACATTGCATACAATCGACCTATGCCTCAATGAAACTAAGACATTATTCTTGAAATAGACTTTTTTTATTTAAAATCTTAAAGGAATTGAAAAAGGTTGAATTTTGCATTCCTTTTAAAGACGTACTATTTTTTTTTAAATTAGGGTCGTATATTGATTAAAATACCCATTTGCTTAAATTAAAAGATATGAAGCAACTTAAAAAGAACTAAAAATAATTGTTGATTTGTAAGATAAAAGTTCGGAGTAAAGATGCCAGAATCGACAATCATAACACACTTACGATCATTATATATAAGAGCATTATTAGGAACACTGTAATAAAACTTTGATAATCATAGCATACGAACACGTTTGACAAACAGGAACTTTGATAATCATAGCATACGAACACGTTTGACAAACAGGAACAATCTGTTGACTCAGCTTCAATATTGATAAACGTTTGTCAAGAGAAAACACAGGTTTGGTTCAAATTTACCTATAGTAGTTTCAGTGGAGAAGATTGTAGAACATTGACCCAGTATCCATGAAAATTTCATGATTGAAGCTATATTTGATAAGGACACATGCTTCACTCTGACAGAAGTTTATGTTAATACTGCTAACACCATCTTTGTACTTTTGTGGGCATATTTGACATAATTTTAAATTTAGAAACCATTAGAATATCTGCGACGGATAGAAATCAACCTTATGCAAATAAATATTAATACATGTGTTTATTTATTTCGGGTTGAAAAAATCTCTGTGCAAAGTATGTAACTGTTTGAAAATTGAGTTGATATGAGAACCCTACAAAACAGACCAAAATTCATCTTTTATTTCTGATTGAATGTTCCAAAATCAATCTAAGTCTTCTACATGTACATGTATACGTGCACTTCATTAAGGTTGATTTCTATCCAATGCAGCTCATATATTAGAGACAATGTCTTTACTAAAGACACAAAATATCCTAAAGACACTGATGACTATTTGCCATGGCAGTAGGGTAGTATCGCAATCGCGACAACTGTCCATTTTAGACTAAAAGACAAAAAGGAATTTTTAATAAATCTGTGAAAATATACCAGTGTTCTGATTTGCTTTTTGAAAATAAAATGCATTTTATATATGCAATTTTCTTGCAGGATTTCAAAGCAGCAGGAATGCTTTACACCGTAGCTTTCCATCACCAAGACTCGGACGGAGATGGCAAAACCAATGGATTCGAACTAAACGTTAATTATACTAATAATCGATACGTTATGGAGGGAGTCCCTTTAAGTCATCCAGGTATCTATTTCGATCTATTTTTGTTCTAATGTCTGTTGTAAAGGTTACAAGAATTTGATCTGATGAGCTATATCTTAAATTATCTTTAGGCAGTGATGCTCAAAATCATACATTGGAAATCCGAATCTATCAAACGTTTGAAGTAATGTAAGTTTCCAAACAGATTAAAGAAGCGATGAAACATAGTTCTCTCAATAATGTTCATGATAAATAATTTGTGTGTAAATCAAACTATAGATTTTGATGCTTGAACTGTTCATATTTAGGTTAACATTTAGCAGAATTTTAACACTTGAATCCAAAATTATATAAAAACATGAAAAATTATATATCCGAATACGGCACGTTTACGGTTATACTTAATTCGAAGTGTGTCTAGTGTATTTAAAAGGGCATTAGCTGTCAAATTCATGATCACCGATTTGACCCAAATTCTCATATTTGATTTATTACATATTAAAATGTGTATCCAAAATACAAAAAGTTCGAAAAGAAAAAAATACCAATGCATGAACTCGTTCTTGTGTATCAGCATTTCGTGCGTATTAGACTAGACACAATATGATTAATCACCGAGATGACCTCCGTTGACTGCGATCTGATATAAACATGAATATGAAAAAAATAGACAGACAAGCACGTGCTATTGTGTAATGACGATTTTCAAGGTCTGTATGATTTCATGTTATAGATTTTTTAAATGTAAATCATCTTTTTTCCTGCATACGAATGATTTTTGTGGATTAATCAGTCAACGAAAAGGCTTTTCTTGTGGCTCCCTTGTTTCACTTTTCAATGTTGACATGTTGGTTTTTTTTTTGATAACTGAACACGGTTAGCACATACGTAACCCGGGGTCTCATGTTGTATGAATACGGATTCAAATGAGTTGAATTATTGGCATGTAGCCACTAATACATGTGTGATGTATTTTAGCCTATCGTGACAAAATTGAACCAAACTGACAGCTTATAACAAGACATTATTTCAATATTCCGCTGTCATAAATGTTTGGAAAAAAAATCATATTTTATTTTAGTCTACATCGTAGCTAATGCATCTTTAATTGTAAGCCTGAAATATTTGCTGAGTATTTTCTTATTCCAAAAGACGTAGCTGAATAAGATGTGATTTACAAAATTAACAAACATATTGATAGAGTAATTAAAGCATTTTGTAAAAATGGTTGGCTTTTCAAAACTGGTCGGTAGTTGAGCTTCCCATAAATTGATTTTTAATGCTGTTGTTCATGCCTTTACAATAAAAGAATGTGTTGACTTTAGTTCATTTTTTCTATATATCATTAATGGATCGTGTGAGCAAGCTTATAGAAATTAGAAATAACATTTATGAGGATAGCTTTTATTAGACATTTTGAGAAAAAAGTCAAAATATGTAAATCTGAAGTACAGGGACTACCTTACTTCTTAAATAAATGCGTTAAATTAAAAAAAATCCTTACAAGCGTACTCGATCTTTTGTAAAGAGTTAAAATAATGTTGGTTTCTTAAGATTGATAAAGATAATATCAACAGGACGACGAAATAGAGACAGAAGATACCAAAGAAATATTCAAACTCATAAGTCGATGACAAACTTAAAACGCCATGGCAAACTTACAACGCCATGGCAAAAAATGAAAAATGACCAAAAAAAAATAGACAAAATACTACAAAGAAAACTAAAGAACCCCATCAAAACCCGGGGTTGGTGTCAGGTGCTACAGAAAGGTTAGCAGATCCTGCTCTATATGTGACACCCGTCGAAATATATCAAACACAGATATAAGAATCGTGTGCATGCTAAGTAGTGTAGTGTTTAATGGCTTTGTCTTTTATGCTTGAGGGCGTGGTAACAACTTCATGCGTGGCAGATCTCATATTTTTAGGTCTTTCCACTTTTCTGTGGAAAGACTTATTGTATTTTTTCTGATTATTATTTTTTTTTTCTTCCGCCAAATTTTGTTCTCGCGTAAATTTTTTGTTTAGCAATATGTCGATAAGATATTTCTTATATAGTATCATACAGTTTATGCGCTTTTTATTTTCACCCATTCTAAGCCAAACAATTTTCTTTGTAAGAGTTATCTCCCTATTCACTGTTTATTAAGTGTGTGCATCTCCTTCGTAACAAAAAAAGATATCGACAAAATTATTTTTCTAAATTGTTCGTTACCACCTCAGAAAATTTTGGCTAATTTGGATCGAAGCGATTCGATGAAATTTTATAGGAGTTATCTACCTTTACCAAATAAATTTGTCGGTATGTTTTTTTTAACTCAGTAACCGTTAACCGTATAACCCTAGATTTTTTTTTGTTTGAGGCCCATAGGTCCTAACTTAGAAAACGAGGTCAAGGTCAAGTTCTCAATTTTGACTTTTCCTTGTTTTTGCATTTTCTCCAACACTTTTATAGATACATATAAAAGAACAAGTGCAAAATGTTTGCTTTCTTGTAATGAAGATATGTTACATTTGGTCTGAAACAATCTAATGGCATCTTATAAGAGTTAGTGCCCTTGAAATGTCTAATTATAAGGTTGATTGATTATTACTTCAACCTGGTTCATTATAAAGCCATATGACCTTTTACAAAAGGTTGGATGACATATGACCTTGAAAAATGACAACCGGAAGTGACCTTAAGAAAACCGGAAGTAGCCATTTTTGCACTTTTTTCATGGAAAAGTACTCAGAATCCATATATTTTGTAATTTTAATACATTAACTTATCACTAAAGACTAGAAGTGACTTTGGATAAACCGGAAGTTGCCAGTTATCTCCTGGTTTACAGGCAAATGTATATAGAAACTATATATTTTTGGAATCAGTGTGAAAAAAGCTATCATATGAGACTGGAAGTGACATTTACTTCACCGGAAGTAGAACATTATCTTCCTTATTTCACTCAAAAGTATATCGAAACCACTTATTTATCGCATCAGTAATCTGATGATTAGATGCCAATTTTAACTTTGAGTAAACAGGAACTAGCATCTTTTCAATAAATTTGAAAATTGATGTGGAAAGACCTTCAATTGTTCTCTGAACAATTGGTTTTTAATTCAAATATATTTTTTTCATGCGTGATTTCGTATATTATGGAAGCAGAACGAAACACAGCAAATGTGGAAAATCTCATATTTTTCCAATTTGAAATTATTTTTTTCATACGTAATGTCGTATTTGAAGTCAAACTTTCTGTATTACATTGGCATTCCTATTTCCAATACATAATACATTGCCATTCACTATGTTTAATATATGAACATAGTGAATGAATAATTTCTCGAACGTTACACTTACAAAAATGTTATTCAATGTGTATTCGCGTGTAAGAGGACTTAAGAATAGAATGCAAATAGTTATTACGTTTCAATAATATACTTCCCGTATTTATTTATGATCATTATCTGCGTTTTAAAGAGGATTTTGTATTTTTCAGGAATATGTGAGCCTGTAGATTCAGAAAAATGTAGAAAACTTCAACAATTTAAATGTCCACCACCTATGAATCCAAATAATAATCATATGAGAAATTTTATGCCAAATTTTCCTCCCAGTAATCCATTTGGATAGACTTGGATAGTCATGTGCAGCTTTATTCGTGGTTCATAGATGACAGGAAATGTCGACGTTACCGACAATTTATTGAAAAAAAGAATATTGATAGAAAAGTATAAAGCGGGCACCTTTGACCTTGTTACTAAATTAATACATGCGTTCTTTTTTTATGTCAGCTACTTTGTGTTCATCGTATATTGATGAATGCACAAAAGTTTTTATTTTATTTTACTTTCAGTATTCTAATGTCAATAAAAAAATATGAATTAAAGGAAATTCGGGTATACGTAAATGAGATAGTAACCTAACAACAATTGTTATCCAAAATACATATAGCCTCTAAGAGATCAACATACAGTCTTTACCAATAGATAAGTGTCTGTACAATATGCCAAGCCCTAGATTAACCCGAGTCTAAAAAATATGTATGGTATAGGTCTAGAAATTGGCAATGAGGGTCTGACGAGAACACAACTTTACGACCAAAGGGATAATTTCAACTTTCAAATTGTGAACTTTCCATTTCTATGTCGCAACATTTCAGTAGTGCTTGCATATGGAATTAATCTGCCAGTGCATACGATATGCCAGAACTTTCCTTTCAAATATCATAATTTCCTTGAATGATGGTTGTTTCTTACAAGGAAACTATTCAAACAAGGGTTCTAAGTGGGATTAAGTCAATCCTTCGAAAGTTTTACAACCGACATCAAGAGTTTGGTGAACGTTAGGGACTATCACAGATGATCATGGATATGTCCTAAATGTCGTTACAACAATCTCGTCTTCTGTTCCTCGATTGTGACATCAACGAATGAGACTTATCACCGGATTTGTACTTGCATGAGCAGCACGACGGGTACCACATGTGTAGCAGGAATTGCTTACCCTTTCGGAGTACCAAAGGTTACGCCAGTTTTTGGTGGGATGCATTTTGCTCAATCTTAAGTTGTCAATGTATACTGTTTTGTGGACTTTGTCGATTTTTTTTGTCATGGCGTTGTCTGTTTTTCTTTGACTTTTGAATGTACCCTTGGTATCTTCTGTCTCTTTTTTTCATAAGACAGTAAACCAACTCAGGAACACAAAAAGCAGAAACGACAAAATGCGCATAATGTTCATGTATCGACTGCAGAGTGAATCAATATTCAATAAATAGTATTGAATAAACGCATTACGTTGCGCAATCGCTATACAAAATGCCTACATTCAAATATAAACACAAGGTAAACGAAAAATGTCTTTCAAAATTGGACAACCCAAGGAAGTATTTTTTGCCTAGCATAACGTAGCGAAAAACTTAACGTTCAAAGACATGCACTCATTTGTTCATTTTAAGGGGGAATGGCAAATAAAAAGTGGTATTGCTTAGAATGTGAAAAGTATTTACCAAAGACAAAAATGTCGAGAAAATAAATATCTACACAACAAAACCGCCTTGATAGTCTATGAGTAGCATGCTAGCCTCAGTTACAGGAGGTCATGTGTTTGATCCCCGGCTTGGTGATACCGAAGACTTTATGATTGTTATTTATTATTTCTCCGCCTAACATGTGGCATCAATGATCTATATAAATCCTTAGTGGCATTTATGGTAAAAGACTGATCAGTTTAGAGTCGGAATAATGTGTTTTGATATGGGGATGTCTCTTTGTGCGGACTATTAACTTGGTAAAAATCCGATTCAGTGTGCCGGTCTAGTGCAAAGCAGGGTTTATATTTATAAATCATTGACATGTTGTCATCCTGAATATGTATACAGTATATGTTACTGCAGCCGGTTGTACGAACGTGGCATTAGCCTAATGGGTCATTAAGTCTTCATTAAGCCTTTATGATGCATTAGGTTAATGAAGACTTAATGACTCATTAGACTAATGACACGTTCGTACAACCGGCTGCTGGTTATTTGGCAGATATCAATCAATCTACACAACAAATTATTTTACAGTAGTGAGTAGGGGAAAAGTCATTTGGGCTCAGCGGCGTTTTATTGATCTCCCTTACTCCAAGAAAGGAAAAATGGACTCAAATGACTTCGTGCAGTATATAACGATTCCAAAAAGTATGCCTATGCTGTCTTAAAACTTGTTCGAAATTATCAGAATGACTTCAATCAGAAATCTGAGTATCTAGCTATTCTTATAGTTAGTCTGACTCTATTACCAAGTTTTTGTTTTAGATACGCAGAGAGGGTACACAATACGACTCGTGTTTATATCAACAGAAAGTAAAAACGCTTAACAATAAAATTATAACCAAATAACCAAATAAACCTAGGACAATTCTGTTTCTATTCTTACCAAATTGATTAAAACCAAACCAGAATTGACTCCACAATACTCTTATGAAAAACCGTAGTTTTGAAGGAAATACACTTATATATATAGTAGCGTAAAATTGTAGGTTACGAATAATTTATATATGATAGGTGAATTTGTGTGTTGAAAAACGCTGGCATATTCGTTTTTTATGCAATTGAAAATTTTAGGACATATTTTATATTCATATAAAAAGTCAGAAGATACCAATGGGATAATCGACCACTAGTGCATCATTTACAAGTCAAGGAACAAAGACAACAACAACAAAATACAATCAGATTCAGTCCACAAAACATTACACAGAAACTAAGAATTGAGCACTGTAACATTCATCTCAATAAGTAAAAACTATGTCATTCAACTCTCGGTTTTCAACTTTATCCTGACAGGTGTAGAAAATAAACAGGTGTCTTCTGTTCTGTCTGCAACTTTTGGGGAAAGTAAAATCTAAATTTAGAATCATGGTTGAAACTGAAACTACACATGTATGATAAAAAATATAACATGTTATTTCTGCTTTATCGAATTCTAATTCCGAAGGGATAGCGAAATTCGTTTTCTTTTATGGTGCTTTTGTGTATCTTTCCGAAGTAGTGAATGCCATTTTGAAGTAATATTTTTCTTCTCAATTCTCAATTCAAGATTATGACTGAATAGAGTATAAGGTAGGGGGCCAAGAAAATAATGTGACACTTGTAACTGCAATTTGATATTTGGTGGAATGAGAGGTGAAATGAGATAAGACTCTTACATTTTGATAGCATTTTAAAGACTGATTTGTTTCAATCTAAAATCCAATTGTATCCAATTTTCATAACCTCTGCAGAAATACTACCAAGTTCTACTACAAGGGATGTTTAACGAACTTGATTATACATGAGGATCTCGCAAGGTGAAGCATACTGAAACATTTGAACTTATATTTTATGGTACCTTCAAATGAAAGAGATTTATCTGCAGCATAAACAGTTTTGTAAATAATTCAAATTTGCTCAAAACGAAGTCTGGATCTGATATTTGTTAATGCGTAGTCTTCTACAGTAACTATCGCTTACATAATACATATATAGGTACATATAACATTTTAATATACAAACAGTAGTCTGTATGAGTATACCATAAGTTGGAGCATTTTAAGCGACTGTGATTTACTAACTTTTAAAATTCTGCTTCGATCATTTTCATAGCGTGTTGAATTCTAATAATCTTTTATTCCTAGAACAAACATTTGGTATTTAATTTCATAGAAAATACGATATCCAACATAAGTGTATTGAATCAAATGGATTTCTGTTAAAATATAACTTTATGCATAATATTAAAGAAATACAAAAACAAATAAGACTATAACAGACAAAGAATTCCTATAAAATAAAACTTCATATTTTCCCGACAAAATCAATGCCAAATACAAAAACTATAAAAAAAAGTTTGACAAATATACAACCACGAGTTACATAAAGATATTTGTTAGATAACTTGACAGAAGTAATGTACATGTATTATAATAAGGCGAAGGATTCGGATGAACTGTATAGCAATTAAGATGATCAATTAGGACAAAAGAAAGAAAATGGTGTACATGAGAAGACATGATTTGTTTATTGTTGTAATTTGCTTTGAACTTTTGTTTGTTTTTTGATTTTGTGCCTATTACCAATCTGCTGAGTCAAGCCATTTTTAGGTTTTTTTACAGTTTGTTCCTATGCTGTGTTTTTATGTTGTGCTGTTATACCACTGTCCCAGGTTAAAGGGAGGTTTGAGTGCTCAAAAACATGTTTAATACGGCCACATTCTGTATGTGCCTGCTCCTAGCCCGAAGCTTGTAATTTAATGGTTGTCGTTGTCAAGTTGCTGTCTGCCATGTTTGTCTCGTTTATGGTATTCTTGTTTGAATTGTTTCACAATTTGTCATGACGGGTCCACTAATTGCTGATTATACTGTATGTGTCTGATCATTGTTGAAGGCCGGACGGTAATCTATATTTGAATAAATCCAGGTCATTTTGACTCTGGTACATAGTTGTCTCATTGGCAATTATACCATGTCTCATTGACATGATTTAACATCTGCTAAGCCACAATGAGAGCACATCATGCCTTTTCCAGTTTATGTTTATGACAAAAAGATAAATAACTCTTATTACTTGTAACCGGACCCAATTTAACAGATCATCCTGAGAAAGCAAAGAACATTTTGAAGAAATGATTTAAGCTTTCTGAGGAGACGCGATAACAAGAAAAATACTATACAGGGAGATAACTCCTATTTGGAAACGTGTTCGGTTAAAATGGATGAAAGGTGGAAAGACCTATTATTATCATTAGTATTACTGTTGGTGATGCTGTTATTGTTGTTGTCAACTAAGTCATTTGTCAGTGTGACAAACCGGGTAGACTGATTTAAGAATTATATGTTTACTAGTGTGTTATATATTTGCGAATGAATTATATAATTATATAATTCTTTTTTACCTTGTAAAGCATGTTAAATAAAAGGACCAAGAACAATTAAAACAATATTATCCACTAGAGCTCATAAGTCGAAAGAAACTGACAACGCCATGACAAAAACGAAAAACGATTAAAAAAAACAAGCAACAGTAAACATAACACAACATTGAAAACTTAAGACTGCGCAACACGAACCCCACCAAAAAAACGGGAGTGATATCAGGTGTTCCGGAAGGGTAAGCAGATCCTGCTCCACATGTGGCATCCGTCGTGTTTCAAGTATAAATCCGGTGACAAATCGATGCATATTTTTTACCATGCGTATGCACTCCGTAAATGAGGAAACACATTTCAGATTGCGAATTCATTTATTTGATGATTAAAATTAATTTCTATATATACAAAAAAGTGGATAAAACAGATAAAGTAACATCAAGAAGTATAAGTTATAGAAAAATAGAGTTTGCTCAACTGCATGATCAGAATACTTCATTTCTCCAAGACCTAAAAGCACAAGAGAAAAAAATCCGATAAAATTCAGAAATCATAAATTATTTGGATCCTATCCTTTGCTAAAAGGAATATGCATATTAGTTCAATGCCTCCCAAAAAATCTTTGAATATCAATCATTTATTTGTATTATATTATTTATATGAATAATGTGAGGTCTACATCCTGTCGAGACTTTATTCTAATATTGCACATGCTTTACACGGACTATTTATGACTTTTTTTACACTAAATCAATTTAATACATACTAATTGAAATTCTAAGCTTGAAAAACATGGTTTATTTTTTATTATTCAATTTTATTATTTTGCTATGGGTTTTTAGTGTGGTTAGAGCCGGTTTGAGGAGTCAAGCTTTTTACAAACTGACTTTTGTAGTTTATTCTTATGTTGTGATGTTAAACCACTGTCCTAGGTTAGGAGAAGCGTTGAGCGCTCAAAAGCATGTTAAACCCCGCTTCACCATATATGCGCCTGTTCCAAGACAGGAGCATGTAATTCAATGAATGTTGTTGGTTGCTGTATGCTTTTTTGTTTTTGTTTAATTGTTTTAGCATAAATCAGGCCGTTGGTTTTCTTATTTGAATTGTTTTACATTTGTCATGCCGGGACTTTTATAGCTTACTATACGGTATGTGGCTTGCTCATTGTTGAAGGCCTTATAATACCCTATAGTTGTTTACATCCTCGTCCGGTGGTTTCTATCGTCGTTCTATAGGTTCTATTATCGTCCTATAGCTTATATCCTCGTCTGGTTGTTTCTAACCTCGTTTTTTAGTTCTATCCTCGTCCGATAGCTTATACTCTCGTCCGTTAGCATATATCATCGACCTGTTGTTTCTGAAATATTATTATCTCATTGGCAATCATACAACATCGCCTTATTTTTCATATTAATCCGAAGCTCACATGGATATATTACAAATACATACAGTACTCTCTGAAATTACTGACTGAAAGAATATAATTAATATATCGGTTCGCGAAATTTATAGATTTTGCATGACATGGTATTTTAAATGATAAAAGTATGCTCAGCCATACTTGAATAATAGTTTTCTTGGTCGATCATAAAGCGACCAAACCTGGATATTTTAGTTTACATAGTTAAAAGGAGAAGTATAAATGTGTTGATAAAATCCTTTTATGGTACGTACAGAGAACGTTTTAAGGAACATCATCATATGACGGATAAGTGATAGTCAAATTTTGTGCTTAATACAAATTATGTACCCAAAACTTACGGTCAATCAATTTGATCACTCATCAGGTATATCAGGTAAAGAGTCCATTGGATTCCGGAAGTGACACCGTTTTATCCATACGAACTTCGCCTTATTTGGTTGATCATTAGCTTTACCGAGCGCGCCATCCTCTTTAAGTTGGTATTTCCGCATTTTGAAACCAACAGGAACTCGTTGATTTATTTCTACTCTGTCAGTTTCATTCCCTATACTGACGATCACTACTAGTCTTTCTGCATAGCATACCTCGTATACCAGATAAATCTTTTTTACATACTGAAATCCTAAAAGAATAGAACAAACAATACTTGAATATCAAACAATACTTGAATAACACACAATACTTGAATAACAAACAATACTTGAATAACAATCGATACTTGACTATTATAGTGCAAGAACCTATGATGTGAACTAGTACTACTGAATACATGCTCCAATGTTGAAATCAACTTAGAAATGAAAGTGCATAGAGTATATCTGAACAGCAAAGGGTCGTCCAGAACTTGCATGACCTATGTTTACCTATCTATACTACTAAAATAACGAGGTCCAATTTGTTAGCCGGCATGACGTAAAAACGACGAATCGAAGAATTCAACTTTATATATAACTAATTTAGGACAATAAAGTTGATTAAAAATTACACCATTCCAGGCCCTTTTGTTTTCCACATAATTAATATTACCAATAATTAACAAGTTCCGGGTCGAAGTAGTATGAAAACCAGGACGGGTTCAAACAGAAAGATTTTGAAAACACAGAAAACTGTGCCCATCATAAGCAGCATGACTTTATCAGATGGCAATACGAATACTAAAAATCCAGGCTAAAAAATAGGCGTAGGAACTTTAATTCAGTCACGGACCAGCGATGTCGCAGGTGTGTTCTAGTGGATGTATAATCAAGCAACTATCAATTCTGGAGAGGATGTGCATTTAAACTGCGCACATGAGTTTTTCTACTGGATAATGTACATTTGTATGTCCCTCGTCAGAAAATTTTACGAAATAAAACTTAAATTTTCAAAGAGTTGAATTCTTTAAAAATTAATCGTTTCTGTATTTTAGATAAAGCAAAGTATTTCAAAAAGTTACTCTACTAACGACATTATCGATAATAAATTTTGATATGTGCCTAACTATTGAGGGACTTTCAATATATTAAGTTAAAGCATATCTAAAATATGCGTTAAAGAGAGAGACAGCAACCTTACAGAATTGGAAACATCCTAAATAATTTGACATCAAGTTCTGTTAGCAGTGTCTGATAATCTTGCGTATTACTTAATGTAAAACTGTTAAAGGAACGCAGTTAATCCAGACTAGTATTCACCTCTCTTCCCAAGAAAATAAATACATATACGTAATTGTCCCAAATTTAAATATTGAGCTCCTTTACAGTAATCGGGGCACTTATTAGCACAAAAGTAATATTTAAGTAGATCATTTCATTGATGCAGATGTAAAATGAAATTACGAAGTTTTCCTTATGTAAATTAGAAAAATACATTGTCGGAACCTTGTGATGGTTAGTAGAAACTAAAAGTTCAGTAATAGGTGACACGTGTGTTTATCTCCAATCTTTTGTTCTATAAGATAAGGAAAAAACTTCTAATAATTTTCGACAAATTTTTAGTATCTCCATTTAAGAATTGAATGCTTCTTTTTGTAAATTTATTGGGGTGTAAAAGCGTTGACCGAAGTACATTTTGTATTCCGCGCTTCATTCTAAAAATGTGCGCACGGTCAACGCTTTTACAACCCTATAAAATTACTAAAAGTAGCATTCAATACTTATAATTACATTTTTTTGCTAGAATCATGAAAGCACGAGTTCTATCAAGTTTTTCTTTTATTTACATGTGAAGCTCGTGTCATTATGAATGTTACATTTCATTTTGAAATGAAGGTTAATTTCAGAATGACGCGAGATTGCTGTTACCAATCAAAAGTGCGTATTATAATGAAACATACATGTAATGTAATTATATAGTATTATTTGATGTGTTTTTGCTCTTATCGTCCAATCGTTAAACAACTGTAGAATATACGTGCTGACCCTCCTGTTATTTCCGTGGGAAAATACGTTTAAGTATTGAAAAAAAATAAATTACAAAAAAAGTTAACCAATCCCTCCCCTCCCAAAAAAATAAGAAAAATGGTGTGAATGCCCACACGCCTGTCGCCATAACTTACTAACGTCTTCTTGCAATGCCTATATCGTCATGGAATCCTTGCCAGTCTTAGTTTACTAACCTCTACTTTCCAATCCTACCGTCAGGGAATCCTCTCCAGGAATGTTTTCCATGGTGTATCGTTCGCACCCATCAACCTCTACTGTCACAGTTTTAAGTAACTTATTTTTCAAAGCTGTTTCTTCAAATGTAAAAGCTGGATTCATTCGTTCTGGGGCTTTCTTTGTTTTTGGCCATCCGATGAGATTTGTATCTCTTGCATCGTCAATAAAATCTGTAAGCCTTCCAATTGTTATAATTCCGGGTCTTGTACCTTTGAGTCGTTCCACTGGAGAACGAGACTCCTTGACTATTAATGAACCGTGATCGTAATACTGTGCATCCATCAAATACGGAATAGGAGTACAACCTGGTCCTAAAAAATAAAAATATAAACATTTATATTAAATACCAGCTAAAATTAGATAGACATTTACAAATATGAATAAAAGGAGGTATTGGCTGAGACAGCAACCTTATAGCACGAGAAAAAAATCAAATTACTTCTTGCAACCCAGCCAAAGTACTACTTTCTTCGTTTTCTTGTACTGCTACAGATACAATATTTTTGACAGTGGTTAAATCTCTTTATTTCTATCTTTTAACTTTAAGTTCTTATATATATGAAACTCTTACGACACTTCAAAGTGTGTGTTTCCTTAAGTTATAGATGTCACTTTAACAGTTTAAGAAGCGCATAAAGACACTAATTATTCACACAATTAACTGCAAATGTCTGCAAAGAGGTCCAGTTTTTCTTCATGCGAATGAAATGTTTACACTAGGTACACATTTTTTGGTAGAAGCATATGTTTTAGCTTGATGTATCTTTCTTTTTTTTCAAGTGACAACATTTTCAATAGAGCTTGCTTTATAGCAAAGTTATCCATCGTCCAGGTGTGCAAGGTAAAGATATGTAAACGTTCTCACATTTTTGTTAGGTCCATTTGACCAGTGAATAGTAAATTACTGTCCCATGGCGAATTGGTACCCTTGTTTATCTATTCGATTATGGTACAAATGAGTTTTAAACAACAAGAAAACACTTTGAAGTTATTTAGCAATTTCTTGTTGAAATTTCATTAAAAAAAAAAACTAACAAACAAAAGACATTACGGTAACCGTTGTGAAATAACTTTATTTTTCTGTAAGTTGAAAAGTTGAAATTTATGATCATTTGACACAATCAGTATAAGTTCTCTTTCATACATTACCTTTTTTATAATGCAACCAAATTGTAATATAAACATGTTTGCATAAATTGCCAGAAAAAAATGCTTTTGAAAATAAATTCCATTCAGGTTTAAATAAAAGTGTTCAAATTCTGAGTTCGTTGTTAACTGTTTTATATATAAAAACAAAACCCTTTCATCATTGTTTTATAGTATTTTTCTTTAAAAAAACAACATTTGTTTCCTCATCTCCATCGTTAATATACGATAATGTCTTTAAACACAAGTACAATGCTGTTACTGTAAACATTGGAATAAAAATACAAACAAAGTAAAACATCATAAAGATGAAATAAGATGCGTAGAAGTTTATTTCTGGTCGGCGAACGCAGATATGAAGTGCAATTATTAAAAGAATTATATCCTTCAAGTCCATGTATAATAGTTTTGACATTTAAAGATTAGAAATTTAATAGCACTTCTTACATGAAAAACATAAAGCATACTAATTATTATAAAAAAAACAACAACACCATTAATTTGTAACAAACATAAGATGCACGCAATGAAAATTAATGACAAATACAACGAAAATACACCTTAACTTGTTTTTCAAAAATGCGGTAATAATTAAAAATAATATGATTGTATTTCATTGCGTTTCTTACCCATAAGTTGTTCAACCACAGTATTTCTAACCATTGGCCAGACCGCCCTGGCATCACATTCCGTGATACTTTTGTACAATTTCGCATCCATTTCAAGCCATTCGATTCTTCCGTGTGGTATTGAGGACTCATCAACGTTGTCAAGAGTATTTGTGACGTTGGTATACCACTAATGTTTCCATGTCTATTCTATGACGTTACCGAAAAATTCTCATGTCTTTATTGCACCAGTAATGTCGGTAAGAGAATTTTGGCGATATTCAATAGTTAGACGATGTCCTAATTTTTCCGAACACATTCCCAATATATTTACCAATGTACTTGGTGTTAGTCATGGCGGCATGACATGGAAAACCTATAAGCGATTATCAGGAAAAGATGCGGAACAAAAAGCTTGGCATAGCATAGCTAGCAAAGTTGCCAAAGCAGTTGCTGGTAAGTCTGTTTGAAAAAAAAACTAATATTCTTTTTCGTTAAACAACGAAAGCCAAAATTCATCCATCGAGAATTAAAATTTGAGACCTTTTATTCGAAGTTTGAAAAGCGAAAATCAATATTTGTGTTCAAAATACGAAATACAAAATTCAATATCCGAAATTACCATTAAGACGACAGTTTTGTGTAGATTAAAACATAGGTACTTGGGGACAGGACAATTTTAAAATATCACAGAAAACGCGAAAATATTGAAGTTAAAGGAAAATAAAGGAGAAATAACGGATTTAATAGAAGGGGAAAGCTAAAAAAAGTGTCCTGTCCCGAAGTACCTTAGGATTAAATATCTTTACAGTCGTAGGAAGTAAGTATAAAATTTTCTAAAACTGATGACACATACCAAATCCGCATTTTACATTCAAAGCACTTTTAAAAATATACCATCACTGGGACGCCGAAAGTCAAAACTTTATCAAACCAGAGATGCAGAAAACATTGGGTGATAGACAACGGCAAAATGAAATTTATGGTATGTTCTTATGTTGAAATGTTAAACCACTGTCCCAGGTTAGGGGAGGGTTGGCGCCTTAAATAGATATAAGAAGATGTGGTATGAGTGCCAATGAGACAACTCTCCATCCAAGTCAAAATTTATAAAAGTAAACCATTATAGGTCACAGTACGGTCTTCAACACGGAGCCTTGGCTCACACCGAACAGTAAGCTATAAAGGGCCCCAAAAAATTACTAGTGTAAAACCATTCAAACGGGAAAACCAACGGTCTAATCTATATGAAAAACGAGAAACGAGAAACACTTATGAACCACATCAACAAACGACAACTACTGAACATCAGATTCCTGACTTAGGACAGGTGCAAACAAATGCAGCGGGTTTAAACGTTTTAATGGTACCAAACCTTCACCCTTTTCTGAAACAATAGTGTAACATCACAACATGGAAAGACACACTATAAAATATCAACTGAAATAGCTTAACTCAATCAAAGGACATATTAACACCATTGAACATACACTGAACAAATAAATTTGACCTATGACACAATGTAAATACAAAATAAATAAACTAAGGGTAGAATAATAAAAGTAACATGTTATATCGGTAAGAAATGTTAAACAATTAAAGAAAAACAATATGCTCGAACAAAAATATCAGCCATTTGTAATAACTTTAAACACTGGTAAATGAAAATAATTTTGTAGTTAGGTATACGTGTACAGTACCAATAGAGAAAGGAAATATTTTTACAAAATAAATAATTTTGATGTTCATAGTACGAAGTGAAAATTTATAGTTATACCAAACACTTATCAAAAACATGTTTAACCCCGCCTCATTCTTTGTATGCCTTTCCCAAGTCAGGAGCCTAGTGTAGTTCAGTGGTTGTCGTCTGTCATATTTGTTTTCATACATTGTTATATTATGAAAAATTAGGTCGATAGTTTTCTAAATAAATTTTTTCATATTGTTCATGTCGGAGCCTTTTATAACTGACTATACGGTATGGGTTTTTCTCATTGTTGAAAGCCGTACGGTTGCCTATAATAAATTATTGCTTACATGCATCCACTTCATTTGAGCTTTGGTGGATAGTTGTCTAATTTAGCAATCATACCACATCTCCTTATTTCTATACTATGTAAAAGTTTAAGCTTTAATCTTATTATGAATCCTTGATTAAAGATATCCGGGCAATCATATAGCCAGTTCTCTTGTGTATAGTTTTGTGTATCTGCATTTTTGCTGTAACTGAGGCTAATAAGTCAATGTACTTGATAAACATTTGATTCAATCTGTTTTTTTCATTTTGTTCCTTATGTGTATGATATTAATATACTGTCGTCTTGCAACTGTATGTCTACGTCGAAGAAGACAAAACGTCGGAAATCTAGGTCCATGTATCCATTTAATTTTCAGTTAATTTTGTTTTACCTCAATAAATTCTCATCCTTAAAGCATCTTCGAACTTGTTACTTTTAACATTGACTTATGAATCTCAATTTTCGAATTCCAGATAATATATTCAAATTGAGAATTTCTAATTTATGTTATCGAATTTCGAATCTCGAGTTTCAAACCTAAGATATTGAATCTAGATTCCCGATATATCCTTCTTATCTGTCATCAATGTTATGAGAATTGAACTCAAATTTAATTCTGATATTTTCTCATCAACATCTGCATCAGCGCCGTAAGAGGAAAAGCTATTGCAAGATAGCTTTAAAGTGACAAATATACTTAGTCTACTCAAATATGTGTTTTGTTTTCAATTTGATTTTCGCTAATTAAAAAACCAGACTCAATTAAAAATTAAAAAAATTGCCAAATTTCATTTCAATTTGTGTATTTATCTATTTAGTTACTTTCTTGCCTATGCAAAGTAATGTCTGCTATCTGTATTCTATGACAGCTGTCAATGTTTTTTCTCATTACATAATGTATTTGTGTTTTCTCCCTCGCCATATTCATCAATAGCCGTACTTATATATATAGTTTTTTTAGTCTTATATGTAATACATCAATCATACACAGTATACACCCATCTCTACTAAAAAGTTGAAAAAAGGGTAAAAGAAAAAAAAACTTTGGAAACTAAGACCGTGTCCACCTATATCTTTGATAAGGGTTTACATAAGAACTGTTGGTGTTGAGTAACTTCTTTCAATTGAAAGAATCGAAGGTAATGAATAAATGAAAGACAAAAAATGTGTACGAGAAAAAGATACGGGTAAGATGAAGACTTTGTGAGAGTGGTTAAAAAATAATAAGGAGGGAGATTCAGAGAAGGAGAAAGAAGAAGCAATGTCTATTTATACACTCATCTATACACGTTTGTGCTGAAGCCCGCCTCCGGGTGCTGGATTTTCTCGCTGTATTAAACCCATTGGTGGCCGTGGGCTGTTTTCCGCTCCTGGCCGGATTGTTGGCTCTTTCACACATTCCCTGTTTCCATTCTCAATTTTACGTTTGTCCTTTATATTGGCTGTCGTATAATTTGTAAACGGTTTTTCTGATAGGACTACTGAGCCCTGAAAAGGCAAAGCAAAAATTAAAATCATTTAAAAGCACTATTTTTTTTCTTTATATACATGCGCATTATAACTGTATCTCATTCCTACTGATCAGTTTTTTTGTGTGTGTGTTTTTTTTTTTTGTAACGTTATTTTTATACTTTGACAGGAAAGGAAATTGTTGCAAACCCTTTCTTGTCGTTCCTCGATTCACCTTGCGAACCTGGATTACTGATCTTTCATATTGACCGAACATTTAAAGAATGGGTGACAAGAGAGTCAATTCCAGCAATATCTTCGGAACTTATCTGGGATTTCTATCCACGATGGGCAGGTGCAGAACAAGTTAAACCGATGGAAACAGAAACATACGATGAAGATCCTAACTTCCGGTTTCATTCTGAGAGTTCATTAAAACCGCGGGGGAATAATGGAAAAGAAAAAAAGATTGTTATAGACGTGTTTGGAAAAACAGTAAAACAGTTGAAAGATGTTCAAGATCTGAAAAACAGAATCATCAACATGGAACTATTTGGTATGTTTCTTCTTGACAATCCAATTTAAGGTCTACTGTACCATCTGTCCAATGATTATTTAGTGTAATGATCTGTTGTGATTAATAAGAACACGCCCGCTACATCGCGGGTCCGTGATTGAATTAAAGTATCTACGCCTTATTTTTAACCTGAATTTTTAGTATTCGTGTCATCTGATAAAGTCATGCTGATTATAAGGTGCACAGTTTTCTCTGCTTTAAAAATCTTTCTGTTTGAACCCGTCCTGATATTTTTTATTACAACCACACTATACTAAATGGCTGTTAAACCTGACGTTTAATACACAACCCACTTTCAACTTGTGTGACAGTGAGCGTGGATATATTGCCACACTATACTGTGTTATGAAGATGATAGTTAACCTACAAAGTTAAACCATTGAGCTTGCAGAATCATAATTTCCTTTGGTGTATATAAACGTACTTATATACAGTAATTAGTTCAGAAGTGTTTTTTATTTTATGATATAATTTAAAAGTTGAGCAGTGTTTTACTTTGATGTATATGTAGCATATATAATGTTGAAATAAATTAATTTTTATTATTGGTCTAGGACTATTTACTCATCACATGTAAATGTAACATTTTAAGCGTTAGGATACATGAAATTTTACTTTGATGGAGGATTACTCGTCACAGTACACCCGGAAACTAAATGTGACATAATTATACTATTGGTATCGGTATCGGATTCGACCCGGAACTTGTTAATTATTGGTAATATTAATTATGTGGAAAACAAAAGGGCCTGGAATGGTGTATTTTTTAATCAAAATCATTGTCCTATATTAGTTATTTATAAAGTTGATTTCTTTGACTCTTCGTGTTTATGTCATGCCGGCTCACACATTTGACCTCGTTATTTTAGTAGTATAGATGGTCCGTTGTTGTGGAATGTTTTTGTTTGGATTTTTTTTTTACTATTCCTCTTATTTCATTAATATTCATAATTCATTTGAAGCCTCCAATTTTCTCTGTTCTTTTTTTCATACTATGGCCATTTTAAAACATTTTAGATTAAACCCACTCGCTTCAGTTGTAGGTTGTAACACAATTATTTGTTGGACAAATTCTGAACATTTATCCTAAACACAAAAAGGTTATTCTCAACAAACATCTAGTATCTGTCAATCAAGTAAACCAGTATGCTGTTTTTCAGATGCAGTTACTGCTGATATCTTTCTATGCAAATTTGACAGAGGTGTATTTAATTACATATCAATGAATAACATTTTTTACGTTTCGAAATTTTCGATAAGTCTCGTATAGTGTTCAAAATAAAGTCCAACTTTGTAAATTCCATCAAATATGACCAGACTGCCCTAAATGCATATTTTTTTTATCTCCAAAGTGCAAAATTCAATTTCTTGGTTTAAAAATGTTGAATTTGTGAATGTTTTGGTCATAGTATGGGAAATCCCTGAAAAAGGGCACACGAAATATTAATTCTCTAGACATGTTCTCAAAATTTACATGTTGATAAATGTCTGAAAGAATGAGAAAAAAAATAATTTCAATCAAACGCTAAATTTTACTGTTTCAATTATCAAACAATTTACCTTACTTTATTTGATATGATTGCAAATGAGACAGCTATCCAACAGTGACCAAAAGACGTTGAAGTAAGCATTATAGGTCACCGTAATAATAAATTAAATTTATGGTCTTTAACAATAAGCGAAACCCCATACCATATAGTCAGCTATAAAAGGCCTCGACATAACAATCTGTGAAACAATTTAAACGAGGAAACCAATTACCTGATTTATGACAAAACAATGAGCGAAAACCGATATGTCAGACAGCAAACCAACGACAACCACTGAATTACAGACTCCACCGATATGTCATACAGCATACAACGACAACCACTGAATTACAGACTCCACCGATATGTCAGACAGCATACAACGACAACCACTGAATTACAGAGTCCTGACTTGGGACAGATACATTAGGAATGTGGTGGGGTTATACATGCGGTAACCCTCCCAAGCAGTATTGAAACAGCACAACATAAGAACAATCTGTAAAACCCAGTTAAAAATGGCTTTACTGAACAGATTGAAACAAAGCACAAAAATAAATAACATAAAAACAAAAGACATAAAGTACCAATCTAAGAGTACTTGCAATCAACTAAACCTATTTCAAAGGCTCTAACAACTAATAGATTAGTCGTGTCCTCCAAGATGTGTTTCCAATTATGAAGAAACAATGAATCTAGCAATGTATAAGAAGGTCTACTCGTTTTTTGTGTGTTATTTTTGCCACCTTTTATCTACTTTTATGTTTTGGACCTATTATTCTCATTTCTGTAAACCACATACAGAAAATGACTGTAAGGCCGAATCGTATTACAAAGACTTCCTTCAATAACCTCTTATAAATTATTCCATCAATTTAGCAATGACAAACTGGAGTGAATGATTGTTTTCTAATTTCGATTGTAATATACATGATCATACATGTATATTCAATACTATAACAGGGAATAATGTGGTAACCAAATAGCTTCTGAGGAATGATGTATGGAGCTTTTAATGGAAATCAAATCGATTGTGCTGTCAAAATAATCTGCCAAGGTACTTGTTTACCACTTTACAACAGTTGTATGCCGACCATACAGTATGGGTTTTTCTCATTGTTGAAGGCCGTACGGTTGCCTATAATTGCTTACATCCACTTCATTCTAACTCTGGTGGATAGTTGTGTCATTGGCAATCATACCACATCTCCTTATTTTTATATTAGAGGGGTTTTGAAACATGTGAGTTTTTTTGGGGAATAGATTACATTAGGTGTGTTTTGCAAAACCTTTCTAAGTTTTTGACCCTCACTGCTCTTTAACTTCGTACTTTTAAGGTATTTACCTTTTTTTTATTCGAGCGTCACTGGTGAGTCTTTTGTATACGAAACGCGCGTCTGGTTTACAAAGTTATAAGCCTGTTATCTTTGATGAGTTATTTTATTTTAACTTTTAAAAGCTGGTAATCAGGGGAGTAAACAATTTAAAAAAACTTTCAACTAAGTTGCTGTATCAACTCATAAGGATAATGTTCGACGAAACAAAAAAATAAATAATATGTAGCGTTTTAACCAGATATTTAAGGATCGAATGTAATACGGATGTTTCTCATGTCAACTCTCGGACTTATTAAGGTCAGCAAAGCAACTTTATTTGATTAAGCATGGTTCAAACTGTTGTGAAATCCCAAGATACGGGTTGCAACAAATATAAAAATGGCGGAGGGAACTTAACAAGAATTTGCATCCTGTAGAAAGATCTTGGTTTTTTTTACAGAAGATTCTATCTTTGACGAGGAATTTGTATATGTAGTGGACAAAGTGTACTATGTAGATAAATTTGAACTAAGAATATTAATCGACGGCGAGGTAAAAACATCAAGATCAGAGACAAGCAGGTTTCCAGTCGGTTTCACAGTGAGGGAAGTCAGAATAGGATGGGACGAATTTGAAACCAGATGTATAAAACGAGTGTCGAAAAAATCGTTTAGAAAAATGAGAGTGTCATGGGTCCAGAGATCAAGGTTTTGGTATTACTTCAGACAAGGGATTGCAAATTGTGAAAAATATGGTAAGCATATTTTAGATGAATAGTAAGCATGTATATGTTACTGAATAGATTTATTTGTAAGGAATACAAACAGAAAAACGCAATAACAAACAGGAAAGGTACATGTTGTTAGGGAGCTACCATTTGATTTTTAGGGGGTAGTATAGCTATGTCAGTATCTAAATTGATAAATTGGAACTTTATGTAATCTCAAAATTGTAACTCAGTTATTTGCCTTTTTTTCAATTTGGAATTATGAATTAACCATCTGTTTCTTTTTTTTCTTCTAAATATTTAATATTAATTATGAAATAAGGTATAGTGATATGCGTCACTGTTGACATGAATATGCAATTTTATAATTTTAAAAACACACAACGGCAAACGTTTCATTTTATCCCACTGTATGTAACTATTGATAGCGAAATCAACATTAGATTGGTTTAGACGATCCCACGTGACATTGAACAAAACTGCATATTCCCCTCTGAGTATCATATTCCCCTCTGAAATATCGGGACTATACCTCATAGAATAAATGATTAACTTTTGATTGGTATATTGCTTATCAATGTTTATATCGTGTTATTTTTTTAAAGCAGATATAAAAAATGTATAGAATTTAATATTTTATGTTCATGTAAATTTGATTATCTTGGGTGAACAAATCTTTATATCTCCCCCAGGCAAGGGAAATAAATGTAAAGTGTTCCGTTAAAAAAAATGGTTATATGAAAAATAGGCCACTGTGGGTAAAACGTCATTGAAACAACAAAGCAACAACACAAAAAGTATAAAAATACAAATAGATGTCAACAGATAGTCATAAAGACAAATTTCTACACCATATGTAACGCTCTAATTTACGGAACCCCTTTAGTGCCAAAGATGAAATGTATACTATTTGTGCGCACGACTTTAAATCGTGTGTGCATTATTTTTCAAATGCTAATAGAAGAGAACAAGAAAATAGTTTTGATTTAACAATTTTTGTGGTATAAAAAGATAACTGTTATGGATATTATATATATAAGAAATGAATTGCAATGTTAGTGACGTTTTCACGAACTGTAAGTGTAACATTCACTTAAAGAAATAACCTTGTCGAATCTACTTGGTAAACTAGTTAACACTGTCCGTTTAGTAACTAGCCGTTATGGTAAAGCTTACTTGGAAAAGAGTAAATTTTCTATAATAAACTAGTAAATGAATTATAAAGACTAGTGATTTAACTTGAAACAATGGTAAATTATCAAACACAGTAGTTAAAATATCTCTGTGTCAAGGACAGCCGAGAAATCTACTAGTAATTTTTTAATTGTTGTAGATGTACATTTAAATAAAAAAAACTTCAAAAATATTTTATCTCATTTCTATACTTATATAATCTGTTTAGTTCATTCATCATTGTGTTAAAGAAGAGTTCAAGTTAAACATTCATCATGTTTGTAAAACAAGTACATGTTTTCAGTATAAAGATAAAATTCGAGGAACATATTTCAATTGAAGGGTCCAGATATTATTCTAGCACAAATATATCAGCTTTTTAGCAAAATATCTGCATTGAAAGGAGAAATAAAATTGAGAATGGAAATGGGGAATATGTCAAAGAGACAACAACCCGACAAAAGAGCAGACAACAGCCGAAGGAACAATGAATTAAAGCTTGTATTATTTATTGATTCTATTTTGTATATTATATGTATATTCTGACATTCTTTGAAAAAAAATCTACAGTCAGTTTCACTCAACTATGTTTTAGAAAATAAAGCAATTTATGTTTTTTTTTCTGTTCAATTTTCCAGTATCATTAATTGATCTATAGCTTCAAAAGAATAATTATAATTAAATGCCAAAAAAAAAAAAAAAATCATTATTGAAAACATGATGTCAAAGTGGTAAAATAAATGCCAAAGTATTTTGAAATTTGACTTGAGTCATTCAAGAGTGAGCAAATGGCGATCAAAACTTTTAAAGACGTTTCATGAACGTTTTGTATACTAACTGTACAAGCTTTTTGTAATGATGTTTTGTTTCCATTCCATATCAATTATAATATAAGACCATTCTATACGAATAAATAAAAAAAAACTGTAGAGCATTGATGTTATATACATGTATAGCACTCTTGGATTATTTTCCGTGACAGTACATTCACATTTTTTCACGTTTGAAGTAGAAATTGCTTTTTTCTAACTTGTATTCGTGCACAAAACTTATATCTACATTAAAACCATTTTGACTTCGTTTACTTTCAGGTAGTGCTGCAGGAGATTATCCAAGGATTAGCTACATACCCAATGACATACCAAACTTCGGAGTGAGAGAACGAGATCATGACGAGATCGGATAAGTTTTATACATATCTCCTCTACGAATTATATGTTTAGTGCTCTTTTTCTCGAGAACCTTCATGGCGTTATGAATTGCGTCTAATTAGAAATATTAAAATAATTAAAACCTTTAAAAAGTTATTTTTATTTCACGCAAACCATACTACTAGAATGGAGTTAAAAAAAACCGAAACATTAAAACTTTTTCGGCTGATTGGGGTTCTAAAGGGATGTAAGTAGAACAATATGTTAATCTTCTTCAGCATGGTCCAATCCACACCATCACAATATTTCAATCCAATAAACAACGATCCTTTGTTTGGGAGGCTTTATGATCGCCAGATCGCAATTAATTTGTTTAAAGAATTGATATTGTTCATAGATCACACATCAGGTTTTATCTGCTTTCGACACTGCTGATATACATTGGTGTCTCCTATTGAACGTACCACATAAACGGTATGAACAGTGTAATGAATCTATTTTAAAATTCGACCAATTTTGTAAAAAAAAATCTCCAAAACTATAATATAAATTAACTAAGGTTGGTATAACTACCAACGAGACATTCACTCACCAAATCTATATGCCAAACAGTAAGAAGATATCTAGGAGGGGGCATGAAAATTCATAACCGAAAAAAAGACAAACACCATGGCAAAAAAGAAAAATACCTCACACAAAAAACTAAAGATTGTGCAGTAGGATTGACCAAAAAAAATTCGCCGTTTCAGAACATAAAGTACTATTGGTAATTTAATTGTTCAAACCCCAAAATGAAAACAACGTCACGCCATTGGCTGAATTTCCATTGTTTAGGACGTTGTTAACCAATCACGACGTTTTGGTGTACACTTTTGAAAATATTACCCAGAATGCATTAAAATCTGAATTTGGCCGTTTCAGAATCTAAAGGATTATGGGTAATTTTATTGTTCGTAACCCAAAATGAAAATGACGTCAAGTCATTGGTTGAATTTCCATTGTTTAGGACGTTGTTAACCAATCACGACGTTTTGGTGTACGTACGCTTTTGAGAATATTATCAAAAAAGCATTAAAATCTAAAACGGCGAATTGTGGAACTCAAGTGATCCGGAAGATTTACCGCCAACTTTTACTATTGGCAATCTTCGTGTTGCTCATTTCATGTAAAAATCCGTAGGTAAGTCATAGTCGGTGTTGGTCATAAACTGGGATAGGGACCGATAGCTGTGAATACTCTTTTGCAACAGAGATATTTCATGACGGTTAACCAATTAATGATGGCTTCCGTAAAACTTTTAAAAACAGATGTTATATATATGAGTGTTTTACATAAAACAAAACTAGTACACTATGATATATCTGATACACAAGTCAGATCTAGATACACGTTGGACAATTTTCACCTAAAAACTGTCAATCAAATCAACAAACACAGGTCCCGAAACAAAATGAAAAATAAAACAAAAACAAAACACCAACTAAACAAACCTGAAAAAAAAAAATAAAACAAAATATCAAAGTGTTCACAAGAAAGCTTGTTATTTCGTGTAGAAACCACAAAAAAAAACTAGACAATATGATACTCGCAATGACTGAAAATTAGATCACAGTTGATATTTAATTGATAAACGATAATTTTTTAAAACAAATTAAATTTTTCAAGCGGCCAAGCGGTCTATGTAATCAATTCAAATTTTAAGATGGTGCAGAAATCTGAACTGAAGGAATAAAATGAAACCAATGATGTGTTTTTGTTACTAACAGAAAGCATAAATACCATCTTAATAATTCACTACCAACTTTTGACATCTATTTTGCAATTTAATTAAAAAAAGGAACCACGTGACGGAGTGGGGTAACACCAAACTGACATGTATTTTTCGTCGATGTAGCACCATTTTGAGCGTTTATAGGTACCGTAAAAATAAGGTTACTCTAAATATAGACTCAGTTTAATACACCAAATAATGTAAATTACTACACTGAGATACACGGTTTTCAGGGTAACATCACATTGGTAGTTTATCTAAACTCAGTTGACATTACAAGTTTAAAAATGTAAAAAAATATTTGGGCAATAGTAGATACCACAAATAATTTTATCAGTTGCACAGGTCTACTCTATCAATGTATAAACCTATAATGGACAAGAGAAGACATTATTAAGTCGTAAAACTTGTGTCTCATCCATTTGTTTAGTTTCTGACCAATAAAATATGTTTAAACAAGAGATAAATGATGCAAACATTTATTTGCATTGTTAAATGTCCTACCACGAATGCCGCTAATCACGTGTTATCCTTTTCACATTACCTCTTACTCATTGTCTTGAATACAATATAATATATTATTGTTCTTGGGTTTGCATATTAAATCTAAATTAAATGGACCTACTATATTCGACACTCTTCAGCGCTCAGCTTAAGCGTTAATTATTTTTCGGATTTCTGGTGAGTCGTCTATCGATCATAACGCAGATATGGCTACGGAACCAACCAATTTAAACTAACTAATAAACAAATATTGGGGGGGGGGGGGGTGAGTTGCACGAAACATTCACTTTTAAGTGTTTAATTTGTGTGAAATCACACCTTGGTAATACATAACACGATTAATGGTGTTAAACACTCACATACACTGATTTTCTGAAACATTTGTTCTAATTTTGGTGTAGCTTTTGGTGCAACAATCCATCCTTTTTTTTTTACAGTGCACTGGGTCAACGCCACTGTTGGTGGAGGTTTCCTCCCCAGGGGTATCGCTAGCCTAGTAGTCAGCACTTCTGTGTTTATATGAATTATTATTGATATATGGTCATAATCATAAATTAACTGTTTAAAAATCTTTGAATATTTAGAAATACTAAGGACTTTCTACACCCTTAGCTGTATTTGGTAAAACCTTTCTGAATTTAGGTCCTCCATGCTCTTCAACTTCGTACTGAATCTGGCCTTTTTATACTTTTTATTCGAGCGTCAATGACGAGTCTTTTGTAAATTAGACGCACTTCTGGCGTACAAAATTTTAATCCTGGTATCTGTGAACAGTTTGTCGACAACAGACAAAGAAAAAGCATCTAAGAATTGTTCCCGTCGCCTCAACTTACGTACTGATTTGACTCAGGCCCGTGACGGGCTAAGTTCCCAGCAGTGCTCGACTGTGGTAAGATTACAAATCTTGGTATGAAAACCTATATGTAATAATTATTTCCTGAAAAAGGTAAGTTAATACGTGAAATATGAAAGTTTTCCAAAATTTGGCGTGTTATCATGAAAAAACCATGATAAAGACTCATTTTTTGATTGATTCATTGCTTAAGAATTTTTGGACTATTTGATTTTAATCTGCGCACTTCACAACTTCTAAAAAGACGAAAAATGCCAAAAAACCTAAAAACGTATATAATACGTACTAGTATATAATGTTCCAGATTATAGCCAATACCTTCTCTGAGGAAATTTCGCAAATTGTGTACTATATAAGGTTTTCAAACCCTATACATCGTAAGCTAACCTCCGAAAGAAGTAGCTTCTTTTGTTTCTTATTATGCGTGGAAAACGATTTTTTTGTGTTTTTCTTTTACTTTTTCTTTTTGTAATGTTTTGATTTCTTGGGTATTTTTAAGAAAGGGGGTGGCGTGAAGTAGATTTCATTTTTAAATGGTAAACATCAGTTATAAAATGCGATAATATTTTCAGTCTTAAGTAAATATGTTCCAACTTTTTGACACATAAAACATAAATATGAATAAAAGAAGATGCAAGGCATACGTCAATAAAACAGCAACCCAACAACACAAAACTGAACGATATGAAATTCGCTGTCTTTACTTTATTAGATTGTCACTTTAAATATACACCACTTTTCACGTGCAAGGGGTGGGGGTTTTAATTATGACGTCATTATAGGGAAGTATATTAGCAAACACTTAGAATTTTAGCGCAGACCTACGTAAAATAGTCGAGTAACAGTGTTGTGTAATGCCGTCAATCTGAGTATAGATGTACATTTTATATCACAGTGTGGTATCGTCAACAGACAAAGAAACAGCATAATTACAGCATAAACGATTAAAACTGCTAGAGTCTATTTTCTGTCGAAGTCAGAGTCACACTCTCATAACCATTCCGTGAGCAAAAGAAAATAAGTCGTAAGTCGAGGTTGACGTCAATATTGTACCAGATGTAACGGAACTGTGGAGGAACAATCCACTTAGTTCACCATGTTTAGAGGAATTCAATTTAATCAGTCGTCTTATAAAAAAAAACAGGGAAAAGATCAGAGAAATCGGCAGTGTAAAAGGAAGAATCAAACGTTAACACTGCTGAAGAAGCAGGGAAAGTAATCACACAGGCAGAATATTACAGAACAAGGACAATTGCATATTGAAAACTGATCTTTTTAGAGTCACAAAATCATTTTGATAAGAGTCTGAATATTGTTGATATAAAAACATAGAATCACGAAAGAATGAGATTTTTGTTATCATTTTCCTCTCCTTTTCGTTTTTCCTGATTTTCATTATATATCTCCAGAAAATTAGTAAGACGTACGTAGAGCGTGTAAAGACGTCTGTGCTTATTTTCCTAAATTGTGTTTGTGTGTTTATTACTTTATTTTTCGCATGACATCCAGAAAACACATTTGAAGCAAGTGCGTGTGTGCGTTTCTGGAAAAATCTTTTTTCTTCACACAGAAAATACTGAAAAGCAAGTGTTTCAGTAGACACCTTTGCAATATCTTTGCGATTTGAATTTCTAACACAATGTTTTTTTGTCATGTGCATATAGTGTTTTTTTTATCCTGTGCATATAGTGATTATTTTGTCATGTGCATATAGTGATTTGTTTTTGTCATGTGCTTGTAGTGATTTTTTTTTTGTGTGTATGTAGTTATTTTTTTGTCATGAGTTGATACTCTATATATTTTTTCTATGTCACTACTGTTCAACTACTAGTATGTGAAAATATAAATTTTACACCGTTTGAACTTCAACATTTTAAAAGAGACAGATAAGGACCACAACTATTAAACTAGGTCTGTTTAAAAAGAAAAGGTCAGAGAAATTGGAAATATTTGCGTACAAGTAACTTTACTCCTGCTC